CCAGGGTTTTAAAAATCGTATATCATTTATTTATTTAAAAAAAGATTCTCGGTCGTATCACAAGGTCTAGTCAAACTTGTTTAGTCGTTGAGAAAATGGAATTGACTCGAGAAAATTCAAGAGCGATGATTTATTATGACTTTCGGAGTGGTTTAACACAAAAACAGTGTGTTGACCGGATGATTTCTGCATTTGGTAATGAAGCCCCATCCAAAACCACAATTTATCGCTGGTTTCCTGAATTTCAACGTGGACGTGTCAAGCTCAGTGATGATCCCCGTCAAGGTCGTCCAAAAACTGCAGTCACCTAAGAAAACGTTGATGCTGTGCGTAAGCTGATTGAAGAAGATCGACATGTGATATACCGCGAAATTCAGGCAACTTTAGACATTGGCATGAGCCAAATACAAATAATCTTGCATGAACAACTAGGTGTAAAAAAGTTGTTTTCCCGATGGATACCGCATTCGCTCTGCGAAGAGCAAAAAGCGGCTCGCGTTACTTGGTGCGTCAGAACTCTCGGGAGATTACATGCAGGATCCTCAAATGCTGTATACAACATCGTATCAGGTGACGAATCATGGATATACGCGTACGAACCCGAAACAAAAAACCAGTCACGAGTTTGGGTGTTCGAAAATGAATTAAAGCCAACAAAAATTGTTCGTTCACGGAGTGTTGCAAAAAAAATGGTGGCCACGTTTGTCTCCAAAACCGGCCATGTTGCGACTATTCCTCTTGGGGGACAAAGAACGGTTAATGCAGATTAGTATGCTAGCATTTGTTTGCCACAGGTCGTTTCTGAACTCCGTAAAGAGAACTGCAACCGCCGCATCATCCTCCATCACGACAATGCGAGTTCTCACACCGCGCACTGAACAAAAGAGTTTTTAGAGCAAGAAAACATAGAATTATTAGTCCATCCGCCGTACAGCCCCGACCTAAGCCCTAATGATTTCTATACTTTCCCTAAAATAAAGAATAAATTGCGTGGTCAGAGATTTTCATCACCTGAAGAAGCTGTGGAAGCCTACAAAACGGCCATTTTGGAGACCCAAACTTCCGAATGCAATGGTTGCTTCAATGATTGGTTTCGTGTATGGAAAAATGTGTCAAATTTCGCGGAGAATACTTTAAAAAGCAATAAATACATTTTTAAATAGTAATGTTGTTTCACTTCCTTGATTCCCGAAATTTTCAGTGCCGCCCTCGTATAGTGGAATACAATTCAAAATCTATCTAGTCTGTGAAGTCGTTTCATATCGCTGATTATGCAAGACGCATATCTTGATATAGTCTGGTCTGCGAGCACGTAGAATTTTGTCCAATGACCCCAAGCTACCCATCCTTATCACTCACGCGTAATTATATTGCTGTCGCGACTGTGCGACGGGCGCCCGCAGTGAGTGTGCGAGCGCGACAGCAACATAATTACTCGCGAGCGATAAGGATGGGTAGCTTGAGGTCATTGGACAAAATTCTACGTGCTCACAGACCGGGCTTTAGATCTTAAAAAGCATGCGAATTCATTATTAGTGTTAACTACTCAATGCAAAAGAATATGCAACTTGTAAAAAGAAACATGTCACCAAAGAACGTGAACGATAAAGTGTTTTAGCTTTATTTTATAGTTGTATCGTACCAAAAATGCTTCGTTCGTTCATTCATTAATTCATTCACCTATTGTTTTTTAATAGAGTACATCGTATGACATGTGCCTATTTTAAAATTGCATATCCAATGACGTACACAATATCTTCCTAAAACCACCACTAGAACTTAAATAAATCTTAGTCTAGAAGTTGAAATTAGCTCATATTAAAAGATCTATATTACATTGTCGTATAAAGGGATTGGAAAACGCTTGTAAGGTAGTAAATTCATTTAACAGTCGATAAGTTCAAAATGTATTGTCTAATGACGCCCGTTCACAAACATTACTATCAGATCACACAGTGCGCGTGGACGCACGGGGTGACACACGAACCAATCACAGAGCTCTGTTCAACACAATGCGTTCGATTTTCTGCTTTAATTAAGTAAGCATCGTTTGTGAATACGGGCGTAAGTGATGTAAGTACTAAACAGATTTGGCCATAACTCGTTCTCTTTTTAACATTAGCGAAGGCGTATCGTGCTATCCCGCTCTAGTGTTTTATTGGATGTTTGAAAATGAGTATTCATAAACCGATCTCATGTATGAGTGGTGGAAAAATGTACGCCATAATAACTGGATTGTAAAGTTTTTCTATGATAATAATGTTGTAAAATATTGACATACTTAAATAAATACATAAGAGTACCTATTGCGACAATTTTGTAAGTTAATAACTATCCTTATGTATTTCAAGTCATGTAAATAAATGATTCTGTGATTAGACTGGCATATTCTTGATTGAATTAAAATGCACAGGTGCTCACAATCTCACATACTAAGCGATTTGAAAAAGATTTTTAGCCAAATTGTAATAGCAAAAGAAACACAATATTGGGATCGGCCTATTAATTCATAACAAGACCTAATTTTCGAAAGAGTGGCTTATCTGTGAAGTGACGTGCAGAGACAATGTAATATGGACCCTACTTAGCAGTCAATAGAGTGCAATGTTCTAACCATTAAGTGTAGATGTGGAAAAGTATCAGGATGGTCAGTATGGTGCTCATGAAACACATTGATACTGGTAGGAGCACCGCGAATCGGAGAGACCTGAAAAATAATGTTTATTATAAATAAATCAAATTAAAGTAATAGAACACTCAGTGGTATTTGAACCGGGGGAAGACAAATAGACGACAGGGGAAGGGGAGAGAGACTACAAGGGGAGGGGGAGGCGACAAGGGGAGGGGAAAAGTGACAGGGGGAGACGAGACAGGCGACAGGGGGAGACGAGATAGGCGACAAGGGGAGACAAGAGGCGACAAGGGGAGACGAGAGGCGACAGAGGGAGACCAGACAGGCGACAGCGGGAGACAAGACAGGCGACAAAGGGAGACGACAGGCGACAGGGGGAGATGAGACAGGCGACAGGGGGAGACGAGACAGGCGACAAGGGGAGACGAGAGGCGACAGAGGGAGACGAGACAGGCGACAAGGGGAGACGAGACAGGCGACAAGGGGAGACGAGAGGCGACAGAGGGAGACGAGACAGGCGACAAGGGGAGACGAGACAGGCGACAAGGGGAGACGAGAGGCGACAGAGGGAGACGAGACAGGCGACAAGGGGAGACGAGACAGGCGACAAGGGGAGACGAGAGGCGACAGAGGGAGACGAGACAGGCGACAAGGGGAGACGAGACAGGCGACAAGGGGAGACGAGAGGCGACAGAGGGAGACGAGACAGGCGACAAGGGGAGACGAGACAGGCGACAAGGGGAGACGAGAGGCGACAGAGGGAGACGAGACAGGCGACAAGGGGAGACGAGACAGGCGACAAGGGGAGACGAGAGGCGACAGAGGGAGACGAGACAGGCGACAAGGGGAGACGAGACAGGCGACAAGGGGAGACGAGAGGCGACAGAGGGAGACGAGACAGGCGACAAGGGGAGACGAGACAGGCGACAAGGGGAGACGAGAGGCGACAGAGGGAGACGAGACAGGCGACAAGGGGAGACGAGACAGGCGACAAGGGGAGACGAGAGGCGACAGAGGGAGACGAGACAGGCGACAAGGGGAGACGAGACAGGCGACAAGGGGAGACGAGAGGCGACAGAGGGAGACGAGACAGGCGACAAGGGGAGACGAGACAGGCGACAAGGGGAGACGAGAGGCGACAGAGGGAGACGAGACAGGCGACAAGGGGAGACGAGACAGGCGACAAGGGGAGACGAGAGGCGACAGAGGGAGACGAGACAGGCGACAAGGGGAGACGAGACAGGCGACAAGGGGAGACGAGAGGCGACAGAGGGAGACGAGACAGGCGACAAGGGGAGACGAGACAGGCGACAAGGGGAGACGAGAGGCGACAGAGGGAGACGAGACAGGCGACAAGGGGAGACGAGACAGGCGACAAGGGGAGACGAGAGGCGACAGAGGGAGACGAGACAGGCGACAAGGGGAGACGAGACAGGCGACAAGGGGAGACGAGAGGCGACAGAGGGAGACGAGACAGGCGACAAGGGGAGACGAGACAGGCGACAAGGGGAGACGAGAGGCGACAGAGGGAGACGAGACAGGCGACAAGGGGAGACGAGACAGGCGACAAGGGGAGACGAGAGGCGACAGAGGGAGACGAGACAGGCGACAAGGGGAGACGAGACAGGCGACAAGGGGAGACGAGAGGCGACAGAGGGAGACGAGACAGGCGACAAGGGGAGACGAGACAGGCGACAAGGGGAGACGAGAGGCGACAGAGGGAGACGAGACAGGCGACAAGGGGAGACGAGACAGGCGACAAGGGGAGACGAGAGGCGACAGAGGGAGACGAGACAGGCGACAAGGGGAGACGAGACAGGCGACAAGGGGAGACGAGAGGCGCCTTAAGTGTGCAGTTACCTCCAGTAAGGCAAGTGTCAGAGGCCGCTTGGGGCGCCTCGTCGAAGCGACACAGCGCCGTTGAAGCGTCCGGGGCCGCCTCGCTGGAGCGGGGACTTGCTACGGGGCATGCGAGCTAAGGGTTAAGTGCACCTTAAGTGTGCAGTTACCTCCAGTAAGGCAAGTGTCAGAGGCCCGCTTGGGGCGCCTCGTCGGTCCGGGGACTTGATCCGGGGCATGCGAGCTAAGGGTTAAGGGCACCCTTAAGTGTGCAGTTACCTCCAGTAAGGCAAGTGTCAGAGGGCCGCTTGGGGCGCCGGCTGCGGCCCCTCGTCTGTGCGACACAGCGCCGTCGACACGTCGGGAGCCGCCTCGCTGGAGCGACGGACTTTACCTGCGAAAGTTTAGGGTTAAGAACGTTTACAAAAAGACAAAGATGACACCATGTACCACCAGCTGGCCTTTTTTAAAAAGAATTAAGTAATTTGTATTGCACAAGCTAAGCACTTAGTGGTTACAACACAATAGCCTAATGCCCGTTTTCACCATCAATCCCTTGGGGCGCCTCGTCGAAGCGACACAGCGCCGTTGAAGCGTCCGGGGCCGCCTCGCTGGAGCGGGGACTTGCTACGGGGCATGCGAGCTAAGGGTTAAGTGCACCTTAAGTGTNCGAGAGGCGACAGAGGGAGACGAGACAGGCGACAAGGGGAGACGAGACAGGCGACAAGGGGAGACGAGAGGCGACAGAGGGAGACGAGACAGGCGACAAGGGGAGACGAGACAGGCGACAAGGGGAGACGAGAGGCGACAGAGGGAGACGAGACAGGCGACAAGGGGAGACGAGACAGGCGACAAGGGGAGACGAGAGGCGACAGAGGGAGACGAGACAGGCGACAAGGGGAGACGAGACAGGCGACAAGGGGAGACGAGAGGCGACAGAGGGAGACGAGACAGGCGACAGGGGGAGAATAAGACAGGCGACAAGGGGAGGAGAGAGGCGACAAGGGGAGGAGAGAGGCGACAGGGGAAGGTACAATAAAGGAGACTTATTCTAGATTATTACAGTCTCGAAAGAAACAAACTGACATAAGCGATAGAACGAACCGAAAATTTTTCGTAAATATACCGATAGGTTCTTAGTATTAAGCTAATTAAATTGCACTTTCATGAGTTGTCAAGCGAGTGAGTATTTAAAACCGCTATTTCCTTAGGCCCAGTTTCCACCATGGCGGAGTAAGTGGAGTGAATAACCAATCAGATTGCATTATTTTTGAGCTCCGTTCTGCGCCGCGCCGTTGCCGCTGTCAAATCCTATAGAAAAATTATTCCACCCGACACTTTTCCGTTTTGTTGCACTCCGCTCCGCCTTGGTAGAAAATGGGTTGAAGATGTGTTTGCAGAGTGATTCCTCTGTTGTAGCTATTCTGCAATCTCGCTCGAGCGGGGCCTTGCTCCGGGGCATGCGTAGCTATTCTGCAATCTCACTCGAGCGGGGCCTTGCTCCGGGGCATGCGTAGCTATTCTGCAATCTCACTCGAGCGGGGCCTTGCTCCGGGGCATGCGTAGCTATTCTGCAATCTCACTCGAGCGGGGCCTTGCTCCGGGGCATGCGAGCTAAGGGTTAAGTGCACCCTTAAGTGTGCAGTTACCTCCAGTAAGGCAAGTGTCAGAGGCCGCTTGGGGCGCCTCGTCGAAGCGACACAGCGCCGTTGAAGCGTCCGGGGCCGCCTCGCTGGAGCGGGGACTTGCTACGGGGCATGCGAGCTAAGGGTTAAGTGCACCTTAAGTGTGCAGTTACCTCCAGTAAGGCAAGTGTCAGAGGCCGCTTGGGGCGCCTCGTCGAAGCGACACAGCGCCGTTGAAGCGTCCGGGGCCGCCTCGCTGGAGCGGGGACTTGCTACGGGGCATGCGAGCTAAGGGTTAAGTGCACCTTAAGTGTGCAGTTACCTCCAGTAAGGCAAGTGTCAGAGGCCGCTTGGGGCGCCTCGTCGAAGCGACACAGCGCCGTTGAAGCGTCCGGGGCCGCCTCGCTGGAGCGGGGACTTGCTACGGGGCATGCGAGCTAAGGGTTAAGTGCACCTTAAGTGTGCAGTTACCTCCAGTAAGGCAAGTGTCAGAGGCCGCTTGGGGCGCCTCGTCGAAGCGACACAGCGCCGTTGAAGCGTCCGGGGCCGCCTCGCTGGAGCGGGGACTTGCTACGGGGCATGCGAGCTAAGGGTTAAGTGCACCTTAAGTGTGCAGTTACCTCCAGTAAGGCAAGTGTCAGAGGCCGCTTGGGGCGCCTCGTCGAAGCGACACAGCGCCGTTGAAGCGTCCGGGGCCGCCTCGCTGGAGCGGGGACTTGCTACGGGGCATGCGAGCTAAGGGTTAAGTGCACCTTAAGTGTGCAGTTACCTCCAGTAAGGCAAGTGTCAGAGGCCCGCTTGGGGCGCCTCGTCGGTCCGGGGACTTGATCCGGGGCATGCGAGCTAAGGGTTAAGGGCACCCTTAAGTGTGCAGTTACCTCCAGTAAGGCAAGTGTCAGAGGGCCGCTTGGGGCGCCGGCTGCGGCCCCTCGTCTGTGCGACACAGCGCCGTCGACACGTCGGGAGCCGCCTCGCTGGAGCGACGGACTTTACCTGCGAAAGTTTAGGGTTAAGAACGTTTACAAAAAGACAAAGATGACACCATGTACCACCAGCTGGCCTTTTTTAAAAAGAATTAAGTAATTTGTATTGCACAAGCTAAGCACTTAGTGGTTACAACACAATAGCCTAATGCCCGTTTTCACCATCAATCCCTAATTTTAAAGCGACCTTTAAATAATATTAGGTAATACCTAACAGGAATTTCGTTTTCACCAACACATAAGGGACACCTTAGGCCTTATGGGATCACTTTAAAACAGGGGCCCGATTTTCGGCCGCCTAAGTGTTAGGTGACAGTTATATTGTCAATCACGCCTATTCGGCAGAATGGAAACTGAATTAAATGATTTTTTGGAGCTTTTTATGCAATTGAGACAGTGTAAACACTTTTTCACTCAAGTTTATTTAGGCGGCCACCAATGATATTAGGTATATAACTATAATATCATTGGCGGCCACATAATAATAATACAGGATTAGGTACATACGGTATTAGATATTGGTCACTCATAACTTATCTCATAACCAAGCTATATTTCTGGCTTCGTTTGTAGTCCCTAGAGCCCTAACAATACCTTATAATTATATAATATAATAAAGATTTGATAGGAAGGAGGGCTGCACTAAGGTTTTCTTGGCCTCAGTGGGGGTAAATGAAACACAACGCGGACGGTTGATATCTGGTTTATTACTGTTATGCTATTAACAGTAATAAACTACACATATTTAATAAGATTTACACAATTCAATGTGTCCAGTCCAATGTGCCGTCGGTGTAGAATGCCTACGGTGCACGTTGAGGGTTCATGGGCCAGTCGGCTAGCACGTACGTCGCGGTCGATGCTGACGTGCTCGTACCATGGACCTATAGGTCCATGGCTCGTACAGTATCCTTGTGGGCAAGTAAAATTATAACCAATTTATCTTTTTCCTTGAGGGAAAAATTTGCTTCATTTATTTTTTCCATTGTCGTTTTTATCGTTAAATCGCAACTACACACAGAACTCAACAAAATATCTATCAAAATCAATATGTACATTTTTATTTTCATTTATTGTGGTGCAGCAGTCATCTTGACATTTACTTTTTTTAAGGCAAAGGAATTACATTATGCACCCAAACCACAGATTACATAATAGCCCAAATATCTTTTTTGTCTTTAATAATAACTCAAAAATACAAAAAGACATCAGTTTTGGTCAACTATTTCTTAGTTTTACTTTTATTTCATTTGTTTCTGTGAAATACGTAAGATATTCCCAATAAAATATTTTATCGGAAAGTACCGGTTTTTCAAATGTCACTAGGCGCACGAAGAAACGCCACCTGACAAAAGAGTCCCTACTTAGGTTTACTATAGCATGGTGAAAACGAACTTAAGTTAGTGGGCAGTTTAGGCGATCGTTTAACCAAAGTGATATTTAGTTAGCAAACGCTTAAGGGATCGATGGTGAAAACGGGCATAGGGCTAACTATCGACCCTTGGCAGTCCGATATGGACACCCGTAGGGTTTACGCCTTAAAAAAAATTTACGTGTCGGTGAGCTGACAGAACGCTAGATGAAGGTCACTAACAACAGGCCAATCTAGAAATCATTAGGGCCTATGTTCACGTTTGACGAGGACGTCCTATGGCTGAAATGATGATGATGGAAGAGGTCACTTAACTTTTTATACGCAGTGGGAATATAGTTCCCACTATATTTTGAACATACTATTTAACGCGTGGAATAGCAATAAAGAATTTGAACCTTATTCGTTTGCCTTAAGGTACAAAAACAATGAAAATGTTTATTATGTTATAACTGTTAAAGGGTGTAGCACTTACTGGTGAAGCACAGACAGCCAGTCTGCTGCGCTGCCTGGACCGAGGTGGTGGGGCGAAGCTCCTTCTGTTCCTTGGTTTGTTCGTTCACGCACTTCTGGTAGTAGTCGTATTCTTTCACATACCTGGGAAAGACACAGGTAAGGAATAAAGAAGGAAAGAAGATGAGATGATGTCATACTGTATTTTAAGGTTTACGTTTCAGGAAGGAAAAAAGAAAATTGTGATGACGTCATGCTATATTTCGTGATCGCTTTAATACAGCAAAGTATTTATGTAAAAGGATGTAGTGAATTACATCTGTCACGAACATGGCTCTGTTCAGAGAAGCAGGATGAGGGCGACCGTATTTGTGCCAACTGGCATTCGCCTGTGGCGCCAATTAGTGAACGCTAATACAGCAGTTCTCATTGCAATAGTGGATACAAGATTTAGGGTTAGTCACATACAAGGCATTGTTCTTGCAACTCACGAAGGCGAGTGAACTTTACTTGAACAAGCACATAACAGTAGTGTAATGTCTATCTAAACTTTTGAAAAATAAACAGTAGGTAGCGAGCTTTACATATGTGGTGGCTACCACACATGTAAAGCTCACTTAAAATACAAAAATACAAATACAAAATACAAAATATTTTATTTCATTACAAAATTACATTAAATAACATACAGGGTTTGGAGTTTCCTTTTAAGCATACAGTTGCTTGTGTTAGGAAACACCGCTCTTGTGTTATCAATATTTAAGTGGAACTTATTCTAATCTCTATTGTACCGCGTGTCAGTGTGTGTGTGTGTGTGTGTGTGTGTGTGTGTCACTTGCCTTCATGAATTGCAACTATTATAAGCAAGGTGAATCACAAGGTAGGGAGTGTAACTATTCACTGTAATGGGGTCACAACAAGCTACGTCTACGTACCAACACTATTATTTTTTAGAGGGCAGAATTTGCACTGGTGTCAATTATAGATAAGTCATAAAAAAAGTTGCAGTGGGGTTAGACACAAGCCAAGACTACGTACCACACAGGAGGCCAGCGGTTATCGGCCAAGTAGTCGCGCGAGGCTTGGCTTAAATGTCGCGCGCGGCAAACTCGGTCGTAAGCGCCGCACAACCGCCAAGTACACCATTCGGCCAAGTTGTGTGCGTTGTGGAGCTGAGAAATAACAAAAAAATATACATATAGAAACTTGTAAAGTATACCGCTAGCTCGACAATAAAATAAGCTAAATATTAGAAGCTGTTCAGAATAAAAATTGCAGAATGCGCAAAATCATAGAATCAAACATCAATAATTATGTTGTGTGTCACTTCCAATGGAGGAAGGCAAATTGCTGACACACGTCTATTAACGATGGAAAGCAATATTCTGTTCGCGGGTGAACATTGATTCTTACCTTTACAGGTTCCAGCAAAGACAGTGCGATTTCCACCACTTGGTCATCATCGCCACAAACCCTGCAAACAAAATAAATTTTATGTCATAAGACTAACTTGAAATTAATAAAATAATAGTCAATTGAATTCAAGAACTAGATCGTCATTTGTTTCCATTGACGTTCGTCGTTTCAGCCGAATGACCAAAGGCCTCCTCTATTATTTCATAACGACAGGTCCTGCGGTGCCCGCATTTAGGTGCTTCCCGCGACGGTCGATCGTCGGTCCACCTAATGGGAAACTTGCTCACACTACGTCTTACAGTCTAGTGATTGGGTCCAGAACAGTTGTTTCTATGGTAAATTGTAGAGATGTGGTTACATCCAGGGTGCAGGCTAGCATGTAACTATCTTTGGAGGAGACCTTTGTCCAGCAGTGAACGTCATTGGGCTGAAACGAACGAACGACAAGTACATATTATATTATAATATTACCTGTCCTGATGCTGCAGCGTGTCAATGACCCTGGCCTCCACCAAGTTGACGAGTCTGTTCATACAGAGTCTGTTAGCCAGCTCCAGTAATTCCAGACACCTTGTAGGCTCCACCTTGGGTATCTTGTCAGAGTATATGTAGCATAAGAGAATGTGGAACGCGTACATTTTTACCCCGGGGAAGGAAATCTGAAACATTTTTGTAATAGATTGTTTATTTACATAGGCATAAGACTGTTAATCCGTTGATCACTACCTAGCGTAATGAAACATATAGACTTTCAATATAACATCATGATCATTTGAGCATAGGACGTCTACTGCTGAACATAGACCTCCACGAATGCCTTCCAGACTGGCCGGACTGGCTTTCATCCCGCGTCTTCCTGGAACCTTTGTAAGGTCTTGCCAGTACGTGGCCTCCAGAACCTTGATACCCCATTTGACTGACAGTTCGACGTACTATGTATACTTCAGCTTGCTAATCCGTTCGGCTAAGTCAGCCAGTTTAGTTCGTTAACAATGATGATGAAATCAAATCAATAAGAACACTCGCTACTTTCGAGTTAGTTTAGTCCTTGGAACATAGCCTTCATAGGGTCGCAGCGAACTACAGTATGGTGCGGTGAGCTGGGTCTATCCCATCGTCAAAATCACGTTATATTAGGCAGGAGGTCAAGCCGTCACCCCCACTACACAGGAATCGCAATGGTGGGAAAGAGAAGTAAGATTACTCCTGTCAAACACTTACCACTCTTGAAGTGCTCTCCCTAAAGTGTCCTTGGAACATGGCCTTCATAGGGTCGCAGCGGGCCATCGAAGGTCACGTCACATTTGAAAGTCGTGGTCCTACAGTGGACACTAAATGACCTAATGATGGTATCTAATCAACAGCTAAACTCACCACTCTAGAAGTGCTTTCCCTGAAGTGCCCTTGGAACATGGCCTTCATAGGATCGCAGCGGGCCATCAGTATGGCACGGTGGGCCAGGTGTATCCCGTCATCCAGGTCGAAAGTCACGTCAGCAAACAGGTTCCTTTCCACGTACATATCGCGAAGTCTTTGGGGGAGGGGCTGTTGGAAAATTAAATGTAAATTCAAAATGTTTGTTTATAATAATATATGTACTCCCTAAGCCTTCTGGCCAGCGAGTAAGGACTGTAGGCTAAACCCTTTGCATCTGGTAAAATAAAGAAGATTGTTCTTCTACAGCGGAGACTGGCATGATAATGATTAGTATGAATGCAACTTTCTCCTATATTGTACTGATTAAATTCGTTGTAGGCTCAAAATTTAAAGCTTTTCCCGACTACTCAACCTTCACTGATTGGACTTCATTGGAGTCCAAAGTGTAGATCTGAAAAGAGTTGCAGGACAGAATCTTCCTCTTATCACTTAGTTTTATCGAATTTGGATAAATCAGAACTTTTTTCCATGGAATTTTTAAATGGGCGAAAATTGTTTGACATAGTCAAAACAGATGGTCCGAAAAAAACCCAGAATCGATTGGGACTAAATGGGTGATGGGTTTTTTGTTCATATATTGTGTACTTTCTCCTTTGCACATTACAACATCTGCCTTGGTAACAAGTAAGAAATAATTACTCACAGTATGAAACTGTAGCATGAACCCTTTATCGAAGAGCAGGTGCTGGTCCAGGATGAACTGGCTGAGCTTCGTGAGCTCGTGGAAGCCGAGCAGTTCCGCCGCTTGCCGGATCTCCTGTTTAGTCAATGTTACCTTATATCTGTACCTTATACCTTTATGGTGGTGGCAGAATTGATGCCACAGAATTTTGAACTTTAGTAAGGAAACATAAGGTTCAAAACCAAAGCTAGAATACTTTTCTATTTAACAGTTAAGCCTTGATCACACGTACCGAGCAAACGGGCGAGACAGTGCTAACGGCCGAGTACTCGGTGTGTATGAACATTACGCCGAGTGCTCGGCCGAGCGCTCGAGTATGTGACTCGCTCACCCAACTGTCTCGACCGAGTAAACATTTTACTGTCTCGCCCGTTTACTCGGTACGTGTGATCAAGGCTTTAGGGTGTGAACTGATGCCACCGTATTGTGAACTTTAGTAAGATAAAACATAAGGTTCAAAACCAATGAAAAATACTTTACATAAGTTAAGGGTGTTTTAATACCGTGCGGATTACGGACGCGTGATTTTCCCGCGTCCCCTCACCCCTCCACACTTTACAATAAACAAAACTCATAAAACTCATTTATTTATGCAAGTAGGCTTTTAAAAAGCACTTTTACATGTATGAAAATGGCACTTGCTGGTATCACGCATGCCTATTGCGTGATGAAAAACCGCACGATATCAAAAACACCCTAAAGGTTGACTAGGTTTCAGAAATTAAGTGTTCAAAAGTCTTATGTTTCAAGAATAACTATTGAACCAAAATAATGTTCTAATGCAAAGGTATCTTTATGGTATGTAGCTAAAAAAGGCTTGTTGACCCCACCAATCAACCAACGTTCTTTTATAACTCTGATGTCATCATACCTATTATTCAGTTTAGCAAAATACTAGTGATAAAACCTGCATATTTCTCAACATAAGTACTTGCGTTGAGCTCACGTTACTCACGCGCAAAAATAAGTGTTAGAAAACATAAAACGGATCAATAGATCGTTTCATCCACGAACATGCGCCCCACCATTCTTCCGCTAATGTTCGAGTGTTATCGGTACACGCTAAATCATCCATGAGTGCACACGCACACTACAATAATGCCGCTCGGATTGCTCGGATCAAACTCCCCGCACCCCGCGCGACCGAGACCAAACATTGGTGGGGCGCGTCTTGGTGGATGAAACGATATATACAATCTACATCAGCTTATATTTTTGTTGAAAAATGACACTTATTGCAACTTCATAAGATGCTACTTTGTGTAGCTTGATGTGCCATAGTCTGTAATAATGTAGATATTACACTCTCAGCTCTATTTCTTGTTCTAGACTTTAATAACCAACTTAGCAAAATTTTCTAATAATTTACTTACTACAAACCCGGTCAAGTTAACTGCGCATCTGGCTGCCGTAACGTCACATAAGCGCTCTGGTACGGACGGGGCGAACGCGGGGAGGTGTACGGGTGAGTGGAGGGAGAGTCGCATTCAAAAGAGGTGCGCAGTTAGCTCTATCGGGTACTTATAGATGAGCCACGCTGAACTGTCCAACCAAACTCAATGACAGGGGGACGCTACCATCGTTCAACTATATGGTTTCCAATATGGCAAAAATCGGAACCAGCGATCCGGTATTGACGGTGGCGCCCCACTGTCAATGTCATGGATAGGACAGTTCAGTATTTTGGAACTATACTATTGTATTACGTGCTACTAGAAAGCATGATGTGATTTAAATAAATAAACATACAAATGGAATACAAACAATATAAAATACTTACGAAGATAGCGTGAGCGAAAAATTTAATAAAAAATAATGATAAAAAATTAATAATTATGATTTTATGCGTTTTTATTATTATAATAGTAAAATTTACCAGTAGTAATCCGATAGCAGCGGACTGCAGAAGACATTATACAATTTATTTTTGTTAATAACACTAATTATTAATTTATTATTGTTATTTTATATTAAATTTATACACAGATCCAGCGTAAAGGATGATGGGCACTTTTCTATGAAATCTGGGCGTAAAACCAACAGAAATGTAACTACTATTATTTGTTAGGACTTAAAATCAGAAATATATTTTCATATAAATAACTACCAAAAACTCCCGGGTTTGCTTGGAAATTGACATAATGTGTAATAGTAATAGGTACTTTATTGCGCAAACAAAAAATATTATTAATTAATATACTTATCTACTTACATTTTAAATACATTAAGTTATTTATCCATTATTATGTCCAACAGTTCAGGAGTGGGGCCAACAAATGGTATATTTAAACCATGTTCTACATTATAAGCGTAGGACCATCCTAGGTACCATTTAGAGAAATGACATGAACACAGTCATGTTTCAATGGGATTTCTACCAGTTGAGTTGTAGCGTTGTCGCATAATCGATCACGGATCGATTATTAATCGATATTGCTAAATAACGATTTATCGATTACAATTCGATTAATCGATTTTATTGATTACCATCATTACTATCATTTGATTGTTAATTCAATTCCTTATTTTCAGCAATATAATCGATTATTGCAATCGAATAATCGATTAAGATTTATTCGGTATACATACTTACTAAATCGATAGAATCGATAGTAAGATACAATACAATACACAAACAATACTCTCAATATGGTCGACAAAAGCAATCTGATTGACCTAATACTATTTTTATTACCCTAATGTGATGTGAAATACTATGGAAACTTGCATATTCAACGACCTCTATCTCCGTATCCCCGCGTATTTCAGGATTGTTGTCATACTATGAAATGAAGTACTAGTATTAAGCTTTAATTTAGTATACTTTTTGTTTCTGTTGGTTTAACGCCCAATATGCCCATCATCCTTTGGAAAATTAAACAAATAATAAAATACGTAAGCAGAAATTGTGATTATTTAGAAAAATAGTAATAGTAGAAATATTATTTTGAATTAATAATTTTATTATTATTTATAAATAAAAGCTTAAGCGGATATAATAAGAGGATTTATTATATTGAAAATTAAATGTAAATATAAGAACACTCAGAAAAGCTTCTCAAGATTATACTAAATATTTAGAATTCAGTGTGATTAAATTAGCATTAAATAAAATTAGGATATTAAGAAAAAGTGTTTAATTAAAACTCACTTTACTTATTGAAAAGTTTATAAGAGATTTTAATAACCAAATCTACAAAGCAAAGCTGGATATTCGGCAATTAAGTACGTTTTAAATAAACAAAATTACCTTTTTCATTTACTAAACAAAACATTTCTGCATTTGAATAATGTATGTATTGACATCATTTACAGTGGACATTGGCTCACTGACAACAAATTGATGGGATCCAATCACTCGATTTGCTCAAATCTTGATAGATATTATGCTGCTCGTTATCGTTAAGACTTCTATGTAACTAGATACTGATCAGAAATAATAATGAAATAACCAAATCACATAAACAAGGACTTTTATTCCCCAACGGCTTTATGCTTTACGAGCTCATCGAGAATCATGTCAATAATAATCATTGCTTACTTGCCCCCCCAACACTCGAAATACAACCCACGTCAACGGTTGTCACGTTGATAGTTCTTTTATAGCAACTACCAAAAAAATTGCTGATGGCGTGCTGCCGACAAGTTTTTCAATTTGAACTAGATGTAAAAGCGCCGGCTAAACCACCAACAAAAATGTCTACGATTTATTTCAGCGGGTCCGCGTATTGGGTGTGTAGACTGCATTAGTTTGACAATTCTGCTAGCTATGCCAGTTACTTTGGTTCTCCTACGGATCAATGAGGGCTATCGTTTTATCGCTCACCAGTTTGCGCCACTGTAGAGTAAGGTCCTGTCACTTGCTAGTAGCGAAGACAGTGGCACCATCTGGTGAGTGCTAAAGTGGTAGGAGGACTATCGCATTTGCACTCATCAAGATGGCGCCACTGTAGAGTAAGGTCCTGTCAATCGCCAGGGGTGCTAACTGTTAAGTATAAAAACGATAGCCCTCTCTTAGAGACCAGTATCTCAGTTCAAGACAGCATTCTAGTGGTACATAGAAGTCTCATATATCAATGTATAGAACAAACCCTACCTGTTGTTTGAAGGCCGCGCTGTCCAGCTGGCCGGTGTAGACGAAGTTGATGATTTCCTGCATCACAGCCTGTGAGATGAGCTTGCTCATAGTCACTATTGTCTGCGTTTGCGATGTGGCGTGCTGGATTTTTTCACACTAGAACAATATTGAATAAACCCATGTTAACTCTTCAAGGATCAATAAGAAGAAGGAAAGAGAGGAAGAATATATTTCAAGTACCTGCATGTTAATGGCCGCCGATAACGTAAACATGAGATAAGGGGGCAAAAAATGATGTAAAAACATAAGTAGACCACTCCAAGTTGGAATTTATAGTTTTTTTTTTTGTGTTGGTATGAATGATTAATATGACCACATAAAGGTTGCGATGCAGGCCGCCACCAACCGGCCATTGTGGAAAGCATTGGGGGAGGCCTATGTTCAGCAGTGGACGTCCTATGGCTGAAATGATGATGATGATGAAGACCATGAGACATTTAAATGCACATGAAAACCGGTCAAATGGGAGTCTGACAAGAAGGGTTCCATTAACTTCGTGCAATGTTAAACAGCGTTTACAGTCTGATATGCGGTTTATTGTACTTTTATTCTTTCTATTTAATATTTTCGTAAATTAAATCGAAAAATAACACCAAAAATACATGTTTTTTATAAGTTTCATATTTCACTTTATTAGATTTTTAGTAAAAAGTGACAACAGAAATACACATTCTGTAAAACTTTCAACATTTGCTTGTTGGGTTTCATTGGAGACCAAATCTTGGCTTTATAGGAGTTGCCGCTGTAATAAATTATAGAATAGAGAGGTGGAATTATTCCCGAAATAGTCTACCTACTAAGATCAACGAAGCTGAAGACGAGTATTATAGCGTCCCGTTGGCATTTTATTAGTACAAAATCCTAAGAGCGTCTAAATATGAAAATTTAGGCGATTTAGCAGTGCGACCGACGCGCTGCCGAAAATTCATACTATGTGACAGCGAATGTGTAAAACTTAAACTAATTCTACACAAATAAAATAGTGAGCAAGTACCTTGACAACTCTAATAGAGATGATAGCAGGGTGGTTGACCTCCCTGTAAAGGTCCGGCGGCTTCTTACAGCTGTCGCTTAGCGGCAGGATCTGACACGACGACCGGCGCTTGATCTGGTCCCACACTCTGCAACAAACATAAGGGTAGGTAAGAATGCCACTATAATCAAACTAGCGGCCGCCCGCGACTTCGTACGCGTGGAGCTCGTTTAATCACTAATGATATTGATAGATGGCGTTTCACGGCTTCCCCCGCATGAATATTTATCAACGTCGCTGTAGATTTTAACCAATGACGATAGATGGCGCTTTTTACCCACGTCTTATTTATTTATTGATGTTTAGTTTGTCACATATCGTCATAAATTATAGCCTATATGTAAAGTTTCCACAAAATCCGTTCAGTAGTTTTTGCGTAAAAGAGTAACAAACATCCAGACATCCAGACTTTCGCATTTATTATTAGCAGGAAGTAGGATCACATTGTTAAATAGTGTTCTAATGAGATAAAGCTTAGATAGGCTAATGCCCGTTTTCACCATCAATCCCTAATTTTTAAGTGACCCCTATGAAAAAAAATGCCTGTTATGTGTTACCATAGGGGTCACTTAAAAATTAGGGATTGATGGTGAAAACGGGCATAAGCCTGCTAATTATGTAACAAAATATCTAATGCCATCAGTTTGATATTTACTGACACATCAGGCTATATAATCTTATCGAAAAATAGCACCTGTTTGTAAAGGTCTAATCTTACTTAGTTGTCTAAGTAAGATGCTACAGTAATTTACGGATCTATCGTATAACTGAATCAGTGCCTGAAGTAAGGAAGCGGCACAGAAGGGTCTTCTGTTACGTCAAACGTCAGCGAGACTTCAGATGTACTTCAGACTTGTATACTCTTTCACGTCATATTATTATGTCCCAATTAGACGTGCGCGCCGCGCTACTGTTATCCAGCGGCGGCGCGCTGACCTGTCGGGGTCGGCGTGGTGGCGCCGCGCCGGCGTGGGTATTTTTTTTAATAAAAAAAAAATCTAGCTCCTATCCAGCAGTAGGTACTTATTTGAGAATTTTGAGTTACTAAATTAAAGAAAAATAATTGTGTTATGACCGAATGAAAACTTTTATTAGGGAATCACTAACTACTATGTGTGTTCTTTACATGACTCGTAATTATTATGAATAAAAATATTTTTATTCACGCATCCTGGGTTCAGTTGTGATCTTTTTGCAGTAACAGTAAGTCCTGCAATGGAAAACAATCGTTCGCTAGGTGTGCTGGTGGCTGGAATTGCTAGCATAGACCTAGCAAGTTCGCTTAAAAGGCGAAAGGCTTTTTTTTCCCTCCAAATTTGGCATCATATAAAACTGATGTCGAGAAGTGTTTCACTTTTGTTTTATTAAATGTAGCTAAAGCTGAAGCCATCGTAAATGTGCATTATAACCTCCGTTAAAGCAATTCGAGGATAAAATGGCGCGGGCGACGGGCGACCGAATGACAACACGGTGATAAAAAGTTCGCGTCTTTACCCTCCCCGCGCCCCGCTCTTCCCCGCCAGCCACACGTTCGTGAACGCTCGGTCCAGCTCGGCTGAATTCGATTAATTTGTCGCGCTTCGGCCATCATCGGCGCGCCGAGAGAATTTCTCGGCGGCGGCGGCGCGTTCCGAAGTCGGCGCGGCGCGGCGGCGCCGGCGCGGCGCGCACGTCTAGTCCCAATCTAGTATGACTCAGGTAAGTAAAGTACGCCCAACGAGAAGCGATACAAAAGGTCGATTTGACTTACGAATTGACAATCTATTCTGTCTCTTCCCATCTTGTGTATTTGTCGTAATGTCTCGTTCTCTCGCCAAAATATGTCAAAGTCAAACCCTTAGGCTGGGTTGCACCACCTTACTTTAACTTTGACAAACTTCAAAAATCTGTCAAATTCCATACAAAAAGCACCGGTTATCGTCATAGTTACCGTGAAAGATAGGTGGTGCAACCCACCCCTACTATTCCAAATGACAATGACATTGGGTTTTTTTACATTTTGTATCGCTTCTCGTTGGCCGTACTTTAGTTTGATGTTCCATCATCCATTATCGTATGTCCTCTTTAGTTGATTTGAGATTTCGAACTTACCTCATTTGTTTCGCTTGATCCTGTCTGATGAGGTATTCAGTATCTTCGTTGAAGTCACCCGTCGTTGCTTCACCCATACTGCTGACCTGTCAACAACAAACTGTGTTCTAATATCTTAAAACGCAGGGTGCAATTTACTGTGCACTCATGTCAGAGCCCCAAGCCTATTCGATATCAGAGTAACCAAGAAGGACATTAATAAATTGATCTTGCAAAATGAACCGTCGACCCAAACGCTAAAGGCACACTTTAGCAAGAAGCATAAAAAGGATATTGATCTTGTAAAATGAACCATCAATGCAATAGCATAGAGTACACATTACCATGCTGCTTTCACTAGAACTCCTCGCCAACTCAGCAGATAGACTAACGCAGTCTGTAGTCAGGAGTCGGTGGAACGCCTCACAGGCTGTCGCAAAATTAACCCTCACCACAATAACATAAAGCACACATTACCATGCTGCTCTTACTCGAACTCCTCGCCAGCTCAGCGTAGTTAGGAGTTGGCGGAACGCTTCACAAGCTTCCGCAAAATGTACCCTCAGCACATTAACATAAAGCACACTTTACCATGCTGCTTTCGCTGGAACTCCTCGCCACTAGGAGGAGACAGGAGACAAGCTAACGCAATGAGGGCTATCGTTTTAGCGCTCACCAGTTAGCGCCACTGTAGAGTAAGGTCCTGTCACTTGCTAGTAGCGAAGACAGTGGCACCAACTGGTGAGCGCTAAAGTGGTACGAGGACTATCGCATTTGCACTCATCAAGATGGCGCCACTGTAGAGTAAAGTCCTGTCAATCGCCAGGGGTGCCAACTGTTAAGTATAAAAACGATAGCCCTCATTGGTGGAATGCCTCAAAGGCTGTCGCAAAATAAACCCTCAGCTACGTAACATAAAGCACACATTACCATGCTGCTTTCACTCGAACTCTTCGCCAGCTCAGCGGACAGACTAACACCCATGTCTTCGCACCTCATCATGGTCTTGTAAAATGAACCTTAAATATAATAACATAAAGCACACATTACCATGCTGCTCTCACTCGAACTCCTGGCCAGTTCAGCGGATAGACTAACACAGTCTGTAGTCAACAGTCGGTGGAACGCCTCACAGGCCTTCGCACCTTATCATGGTCTTGTAAAATGAATCTTAAACATAATGACATAAAGCACACATTACCATGCTGCTTTCACTCGAACTCCTCGCCAGCTCAGCGTAGTTAGGAGTCGGATTAATGCCTCAAAGGCTGTCGCAAAATGAACCGTAAGCATAATAACATAAAGCACACATTACCATGCTGCTCTCACTCGAACTCTTCGCCAGCTCAGCGGACAGACTAACACCCTTGTCTTCGCACCTCATCATGGTCTTGTAAAATGAACCTTAAATACAATAACATAAAGTACACATTACCATGCTGCTCTCACTCGATCTCCTCGCCAGCTCAGCGGACACGCAGTCTGTAGTCAAGAGAAAGCGGAAAAACAATCCATTGATCTTGCAAAATCAATCTTCACCACAACAACATAGAGCACACATTACTATGCTACTCTCACTCTAACTCCTGGCTTTGTCAGCAGACAAGCTAACGCAGTCACAGAACGCCTCACAAGCTGTCGCAAAATGAACCGTAAGCATAATAACATAAAGCACACATTATTATGCTGCTCTCACTCGAACTCTTCGCCAGCTCAGCGGACAAACTAACACCCTTGTCTTCGCACCTTATCATTGTCTTGTAAAATGAACCTTAAATATAATAACATAAAGCACACATTACCATGCTGCTCTCACTCGAACTCCTGGCCAGCTCAGCTGACAGACTAACGCAGTCTGTAGTCAGAAGTCGGTGAAACGCCTCAAAAGCTGTCGCAAAATGAACCCTCAACACAATAACATAAAGCACACATTACCATGCTGCTCTCACTGGAACTCCTCGCTAGTTTAGCAGACAGAACGCCTCACAGGCTGTCGCAAAATCAACCATTAACATAATAACATAAAGCACAAATTAAAATGCTGCTCTCACTCGAACTCCTAGCCAGTTCAGCGGCCAGACTAACGCAGTCTGTAGTCAGAAGAAAGCGGAAAAACAATCCATTGATCTTGCAAAATCAACCTTCACCACAACAACATAGAGCACACATTACTATGCTACTCTCACTCTAACTCCTGGCTTTGTCAGCAGACAAGCTAACGCAGTCACAGAACGCCTGACAAGCTGTCGCAAAATGAACCGTAAGCATAATAACATAAAGCACACATTACCATGCTGCTCTCACTGGAACTCCTCGCCAGCTCAGCGTAGTTAGGAGTCGGATTAATGCCTCAAAGGCTGTCGCAAAATGAACCGTAAGCATAATAACATAAAGCACACATTACCATGCTGCTCTCACTCGAACTCCTAGCCAGTTCAGCGGCCAGACTAACGCAGTCTGTAGTCAGAAGAAAGCGGAAAAACAATCCATTGATCTTGCAAAATCAACCTTCACCACAATAACATAGAACACACATTACTATGCTACTCTCACTCTAACTCCTGGCTTTGTCAGCAGACAAGCTAACGCAGTCACAGAACGCCTCACAAGCTGTCGCAAAATGAATCGTCAGCTCAATAACATAAAGCACACATTACCATGCTGCTCTCACTCGAACTCTTCGCCAGTTCAGCGGACAGACTAACACCCATGTCTTCGCACCTTATCATGGTCTTGTAAAATGAACCTTAAATATAATAACATAAAGCACACATTACCATGCTGCTCATACTCGAACTCCTGGTCAACTCAGCGAACAGACTAACACCCATGTCTTCGCACCTTATCATGGTCTTGTAAAATGAACCCTCAACTCAATAACATAAAGCATACTTTACCATGCTGCTCTTACTCGAACTCCTCGCCAGCTCAGCGTAGTTAAGAGTCGAATTAATGCCCCAAAGGCTGTCGCATAATGAACCGTAAGCGTAATAACATAAAGCACACATTACCATGCTGCTCTCACTCGAACTCCTAGCCAGCTCAGCGGACACGCAGTCTGTAGTCAAGAGAAAGCGGAAAAACAATCCATTGATCTTGCAAAATCAACCTTCACCACAACAACATAGAGCACACATTACTATGCTACTCTCACTCGAACTCCTGGCTTTGTCAGCAGACAAGCTAACGCAGTCATAGAACGCCTGACAAGCTGTCGCAAAATGAACCCTCAACACAATAATATAAAGCACACATTACCATGCTGCTCTCACTGGAACTCCTCGCCAGCTCAGCGGACAGACTACCACCCTTGTCTTCGCACCTTATCATGATCTTGTAAAATGAACCTTAAATATAATATCATAAAGCACACATTACCATGCTGCTCTCGCTCGAACTCCTGGCCAGCTCAGCTGACAGACTAACGCAGTCTGTGGTCAACAGTCGATGGAACGCCTCACAGGCTGTCGCAAAATGAACCCTCAACACAATAACATAAAGCACACATTACCATGCTGCTTTCGCTGGAACTCCTCGCCGCTAGAAGGAGACAGGAGACAAGCTAACGCAATGAGGGCTATCGTTTTAGCGCTCACCAGTTAGCGCCACTGTAGAGTAAGGTCCTGTCACTTGCTAGTAGCGAAGACAGTGGCACCAACTGGTGAGCGCTAAAGTGGTAGGAGGACTATCGCATTTGCACTCATCAAGATGGCGCCACTGTAGAGTAAGGTCCTGTCAATCGCCAGGGGTGCCAACTGTTAAGTATAAAAACGATAGCCCTCATTGGTGGAATGCCTCAAAGGCTCGCAAAATAAACCCTCAGCTACGTAACATAAAGCACACATTACCATGCTGCTCTCACTCGAACTCCTGGCCAGCTCAGCGGACAGACTAACGCAGTCTGTGGTCAACAGTCGGTGGAACGCCTCACAGGCCGCCGCCATCATAAAACGGTGCACTGGGAAGCCCTTGGCTCCGCATATGATCACCATGTCCGAGAAATACTGGAAAAGAAGAGAAAATAAGATAAGTAATTTGTTACTTGTATCGGAAATAGTACAGATTTTAATAGAGCCTTCATCGCGCAAAAAAAATGTATTAGAGCTATAGCTGGGATACCATCCGACAAATCGTGTAGACCCTTATTTCTAGAGTTTGGTTTGTTACCATTACCGTCTTTGTATATTTTAGAAATATGTACTTTTGTCAAGAAACATTTTACGTTGTTCAAAAGAGTCTGCGATATAAATTTGCGAACCCGTAGAGACCCAGATAGACTTGTTCTGGAAGTCATACCTAGATCTGAGAAATATAACCGAAATTGTGTAGCAATGTGTGTTAGAATATATAATAAAATACCAAAAAGTATAAAAACATCAAATTCTAGCCAATTTTCAAATAAACTGCGTGGATGGCTTAAAAGTAAAAACTATTATAGTGTCACAGAGTTCCTTAATGACCGAGAGTTTTGAATATAATGATCATGTAACAATATTTAGCACTAATGTATGTACCTTTAACATGACTGGGTTTTTTGGCCCACAATCAATATTTGCATGCTTCGTGTAAGCAAAACATGACTGAACATTTTTCTGTGTAACATCTGTATATACCGTGTTTTAAGCAAATAAATGTATTCTTATTCTTATTCTTATTCTTATCTTTATGTTGTGGAGGTCATCTGAACCACCTATAACTCTACTCACTTGTTGACGTAGCAGCGTTGTCATGTTCTCTAAGTAGACACTGTTCACCACCGCCACTTCTGGTTCCATCGGTCTCGGTGGTCGGAATGGGGCCTGTAGAAGAAAAACAGACCGATTATAATACGGTTCCGCCTTAAAGTTAAATATCTAATCTTGTGGTCCTTCGAGCCGGATCTTGACACGAAATAATTGCGAAATCTAACAAGGTTGAGATAGTTAAAAAGAACCTTTCTGTTTTATTTAATAGAATTAAACCGTTTTAAATGAAAAGCGTTCTCAGTTGGACACTGTGTACATGCTGCCTGTTCAATCAATTTACTACTGAATATAGGATTACGACAAACTGTGGTCCTTCGAGCCGGATCTGTCAAATACAAAGATTTTTACATTCTATTAAATACCTGCAGCAAAGGTCGCTGAACTCTCTTCAGATTGGTCATCCAGAACCGCTGCTGTCTTCTCGCGATCAGCGCTGCTCTTATAGCATTCTCGAACACTTCGTTCACTCCGTAGTAAGTGAAGACTGATGTCTCATAGTAGTATATGCCGAACTCGTGAGCCAACGCTCGTCCTTGGTCGGGCATTACTAGGTCACTCTTCCTTGGCGCCCTGTGGAAATTCAGGTGGTTTAGTTGATGATGATTTTTGTACCAAAAACGTACTTATTTATTTATTAAAGGCATACACAACAGGTGACAATGAAAACATATAATAGTACAAATAGGTAACTGCAATTAAAAAGTACAATTATAAAACAATGCTTAGGTCTAGATTGCAACCCAAAAGCGTGTGCACAGAAAGCATAAATCACGCACGATAGAACGCTTGAAGAACGTATAATATAGTTAAAATATTTGCACAATTTGTGTCCCGCATAAGAATTAAAGTGACTGTTGCAAAAGCTTACCTAATAAAAGGGCTGCGGTCTTTGCAGAAGTTCAAGTAGGTTTCATCGCGGTACATGTAGCGGAGATCGTTCTTGCATCCCACGAGCAGTATCGGTGTGTTTGGACAGAAGCGCCTGAAATATTGAAGGAGTGTTATGGCAAAACTGCGCTTGAGCATTTTTATCAAAATAGGTTTCGACATAGGAGGGCTACTCCGAAACGCCGTTTTGAGTCTACCTGCCACCGTCGCTCATGCTGGCATCTCGCTATGCGTGAGAGGGATGAAAACATTCGAAACTTCTGATAACGTTTTTCGGAGTAGCCCCCCACTATTCTTCCACTGATGTGTTTTATCTATACACGCTAAATTATCTATGAGTGCACACGCACACTACAATAATGGCACTTGGACACCCCGCACCCCGCGCTTCCCTTGACCAAAAATTGGTGGGGCGCGTCTTCTTGGATGGAACAATCTATATTAACGTTACAAAACCAAATAATAAACATCCGAATGCAAAATCTGCAACATCTCTGCTTCATATACATGTCGCGGACATACATTTTCCAGACAAAAAGTTAATAGTCTTTTGAGTTAGAACTATAATATTTTTGTCGTATAAGAAGTTAAAGTTAACGTCTTACCTTATTTCTGGATACCACATTGCCCCGCAGTTCCTTAGTGATATCGGATTGGTGATAGAAAAACATAAAAGCACCACGTCGGACCTGAAAAATACCCATCAATTAGTATACCTACATAGGTTGTAATTATAAATTAAAATCATAATGGAATAATGGTTTACCTTCCATATGCGAACCGTCTGTCTTTCTCGTGGTCTCCAAAGGTGTCCCAAAGGCGCAGCGATACATTCACACCGTCCACAATTTCCCATGATCTTTCGAGTACCTGTCGACAAGAATTTACCATTTTTCAAAAGCAAACAACGCCGAACTTAAGGGGCACAAAGCTCGTAGAGCTAATGGCCGTTGAGCCAGAAAAGATCTCAAGTGGCGACCACGGGCTGGAAGACGTAGTGTGAACTGACCTATCACTACGTCGCGGAAGTCTAAGACACCTTCCACTCTCGGGCGATGACAGAACGGCGCGGAGGTTTTAGTGGGTATACCCCGTCATTTTCAGGATGCAGCAGCGCCCTTTTCAGAGCCCTGGAAGTTCCACACACCACCCTGTCCCCCGACAGTGGTGACAGTGCGTAATAACAGTTCAGGTAAGTGCCCCCTACTTCGGTATATTAAGGCTCTTACGACTTTAACATTTTATTTAAAAATAACCAAGCATGATATCAGTATGAAAGATTTTGTATGCTAAACTTTGGTCTTTTGACAGTAAGTTAATACATAATTTATAGTTATATAGTTTGAACTTTTTTTTTAATTAATTGTTCTGCGGACCTCTTGTTTGGATCCTGTTTCGTGACAAAATTTTGCTCTGTTTCTAAGTTCGTGAACTCATGTCCCCTATTTCGGGATAAGGTTTTATGCATACAGTTAAGATATTTTAATAATGATTAAGGGTTTAATAAATTTAAAAACGATAATAAAAATTTAGAATAAAATAATTATGTGAAATTGACGATATTACTTACCTGAAATATTCATAAGAAATAATGTGAGTCTAGTAAAATATTTTGATTTGTTAATTCTAACAATATGTGAAAATATTTCTATAACCATTAGAAATTTAGGGCGGGGAAACTTTCCCCCCCCCCCCCCCTCGTACCCATAAAATTTAGATTTGTTATTTCTAGCGATATGTGAAAATATTTATATAACCATTAGAAATGTGGGGGGACATTTAAATTATCATAAATAATTATTTAAAAACCAAGCATCAAAATGTTATCCATAATATCCTTGAATCGGTAGTGTTACGAAATAGGGGACACCCGAAAAATAATATGTACGCTATTTCGTGAGTCAATTAATCGCAATTTTAAAGGAATTCTACGTTTTCATATAACTTTTTTCTAAGCCATATCAATTGTCAAGGAACACATGAAACCACTATTACAAGTTTTATTTAAATAGACGTTCCTTGGCCTTTTTATAAGCTTAAGAAGTTGGAGCGCTAACCTTACGGTGAGAGCAACCTTTGCAAGCCGCTCGGCTGTTTTTGGCTCTCTGAGAGTTTGAAGCTTCGTATTGCTCTCATTTTTGGCGTCACAATGTTGGTACTTGGTTTTTTAGATAGCTTAAATAATAGAGTTTATGTAGTAATGAAAAATTTTTATAAATAATATTCCATTTGCTTATTATTTGAGCTAGAAAAAAAACTTACGAACTTACGTACTATCACGAACTAGTAGCCGTTTACCTTCCTCCATGTCAAAAAAAGCCCACTACTTCTGTGGATCGACAATCTGAAGAATCTCACGTGCCTGGTCTGACACTCACGTCCTTATAGATCCGGTACTGGTCCGCAGGAGAACCAAAGTGACCGACATAGCTCGCAGAATTTCTAAAATCAAGTGGCAGTGGGTGGGGCACATGGCTCGTAGAGACGATGGCCGTTGGGGCAGAAAAGTTCTCGAGTGGCGACCACGGGCTGGAAAACGTAGCGTGGGCAGGCCTCCTACTAGGTGGACCGACGATCTGGTTAAGGTCGCGGGAAGAGCCTAGATGCGGGCAGCGCAGGACAGTTCATTGTGGAAAACCTTGGAGGAGGCCTTTGTCCAGCAGTGGACGTCATTCGGCTGAAGCGAACGAACGAACGAACTGGTCGATGGCCCACACGGTGGGCACGTCGTGGTCATGAGCTGCGAGAGCGACACGTGCTTGTTGCACGCGCGCGCCTATTACGCTACGCTACTGCGCCTGGTCTGACACTCACGTCCTTATAGATCCGGTACTGGTCGATGGCCCACACGGTGGGCACGTGTGTGGTCATGAGCTGCGAGAGCGACACGTGCTTGTTGCACGCGCGCGCACATCAGCCGCGTCTCCTGGCTGCGCCTGGTCTCACACTCATCATCATCATCATCATGTCAGCCATAGGACATTCACTGCTGAACATAGGCCTCCCCTAATGATTTCCACGTTGATCGATTGGTAGCGGCCTGCGTCCAGCGTTTCCCTGCTACCTTTACGATGTCGTCGGTCCACCTTGTAGGTGGACGTCCCACGCTGCGCCTTCCGGTACGCGGCCTCCATTCCAGAACCTTGGCCCCATCAGCCGTCAGTTCTGTGTACTATGTGCCCTGCCCATTGCCACTTTAGCTTGCTAATCCGTCGGGCTATGTCAGCGACTTTAGTTCGTTTACGGATTTCCTCATTTCTGATTCGATCTCGCAAAGAAACACCAAGCATAGCCCTCTCCATAGCACTCACGTCCTTATAGATCCGGTACTGGTCGATGGCCCACACGGTGGGCACGTCGTGGTCATGAGCTGCGAGAGCGACACGTGCTTGTTGCACGCGCGCGCGCACATCAGCCGCGTCTCCTGGCTGCGCCTGGTCTCACACTCATCATCATCATCACTATCATCATCATGTCAGCCATAGGACATTCACTGCTGAACATAGGCCTCCCCTAATGCTTTCCACGTTGATCGATTGGTAGCGGCCTGCGTCCAGCGTTTCCCTGCTACCTTTACGATGTCGTCGGTCCACCTTGTAGGTGGACGTCCCACGCTGCGCCTTCCGGTACGCGGCCTCCATTCCAGAACCTTGCTGCCCCATCGGCCGTCAGTTCTGCGTACTATGTGCCCTGCCCATTGCCACTTCAGCTTGCTAATCCGTCGGGCTATGTCAGCGACTTTAGTTCGTTTACGGATTTCTTCATTTCTGATTCGATCTAGCAAAGAAACACCAAGCATAGCCCTCTCCATAGCACTCACGTCCTTATAGATCCGGTACTGGTCGATGGCCCACACGGTGGGCACGTGTGTGGTCATGAGCTGCGAGAGCGACACGTGCTTGTTGCACGCGCGCGCCTATTACGCTACGCTACTGCGCCTGGTCTGACACTCACGTCCTTATAGATCCGGTACTGGTCGATGGCCCACACGGTTGGCACGTGTGTGGTCATGAGCTGCGAGAGCGACACGTGCTTGTTGCACGCGCGCGCGCATATCAGCCGCGTCTTGCCGACCGCCGTGTCCCCCACCACCACGCACTTCACCAGCTCCTGGTGGGGTTGTTCGTTGTCCATGGCCTGGGAAAGAGATTCATCATCATTGTTTCAGCTACAGCATTGGTTCCCAAACTTATTTGAAACGCGCCCCCTTTCGACCATACAAAAAATCCCGCGCCCCCCCTCCTCCAGTAAAGATTATTTATTTCGAGAAGTCTGGAATGCATTCTCTCAGCGGTCGCAGGTTTCTTACAGATGGCCCGCGCCCACCTTCGAAGGTCTTTGCGCCCCCCTTCGAAGGTCTTTGCGCCCCCCCTGGGGGGCGCGCCCCCCTCTTTGGGAACCATTGAGATACAGTAAGTTTACTGTTGAACATAGGCCTTCCCCAATGATTTCCATATTGCCCTGTTGGGGGCGGCCTACATTCTGAATCCTGGATTCTGAACACACCGGAAAATGCAGCATGGGATGTTCACTCATAAGGTGAATTGACCACCTCATAAAGGTAGCAGAAAGAAACAGGCATTATGTTACAAAATTATTTCACTAATTCAATAATAATATTCTGACCAATGGCATAAACTAAGCAGAGCTTATACGATGGGTGAACGAATTGTAAACATTAAATTGTTTTAATATACCGAACACATATCACAGAAATTATAATTTTTAGTACGAAATGATGTTGGAATAGGTTTATTACTGGCATGGTGGAGAATTCTCAACCATAATTCTTCAATGGTCCTTGGTATTAAGAAAAAGTTTTTGATGAAATCCTCCTTTGCCCACTTTCATGTAAGTCGTATGTACATTTTGGATTCCTAAAGGTCTTGTATTGTCATGAAATATTGTTACCAAATACTACAAGGACTAATTTCTAAAACAACCTATCCTCATTAACTGCATATCAGTTTATTCTTTTATTGACTTTTTCTAATAAGAATCCTGATAAGATTCATAGATATAAGTCATCAATTCAGAGCACGAGTAGAAACAAAATAATACAAAAAATAATACTATTAAGGCATTAACAAAAAGTATCTGTAATGCCTTGATACTCCTTGAAGTGAAGTTCAGAGTATAAAATTAAATAATTATAATATTGATGCTTCTGAACTAATGTTCATAATAAAAAAACTAACTAACCCTCAAATAATAGAATGAATAGCATGAATATTATTCATTAATTACTCACATAGAATTTGTATCATCTTTTGTATGATATGTTTGATAAAATTTAAAACACATTTTGCTTTCAGTAACACATCCCTTTCACTTTCATACACTTTGGGGCATTGGGGAATGAAAAATCAAGAGAAGTTTTCTTGCTTTGTAGCAAAATTTCGCCAAAACCACTAACATGTTTATTGATGCTTTGGCATAAAACTTGATACAGAAACAGTAAACAGTAACAAGTTCGTTGCTTTTGCATTATATTGATGGATAGTGTAACCCAACACGCAGAAAATGGCTAACAAACGCATAGTCATGGTCGATCGATACGTTTCGAAAGATTTGACTGATGGTGAATGAGAATCGTGAAATGGCGCAGGTTTACAATCTGCCGACACATTGAAAATTGCTCAATGATAAGATAAACTGTCAACACATGAATTAGGAATAACTACCAGATGTTAAAAGAAGCATTTCTTCTTAAATTGAGGAATGTACCGTAGACTATTTTCTTGCAACTACGCACTATTTGTGAGGTCGATATATTTCTCAATATTTTAGAAATCTAAACCAGTAGACGTGATTAATGGCTTAAACATAGATTGCATGAATATTTGGGACTAAACACGATTAATTTGCATAGTAGAAAACAGCGCATTCTCTTTAAATTTTAATTAAAGTGGTGCTGAAATATTGGACTTACAGAATTCGCATTTAACAGCCAGACTGACTAAAAATAGTCATAAAACCTTACCACATGAAGAGACCAACTCCATTGTTTTATGGCACATAACAAACAATTATATACAAATCAACATTAACTAATAATTTATGAAAATTTACACGCCGAAAATCCGCACAAGTGTCTCAAAGATTCAAAAACAAAATGGCAACTGACTGACGGAAGTGACGCAGAGTTTTTCAAATGACATTTGACTGTACGGTCCGAAATTTGCACATTTAATTATTTACTAAAAAAAACTGCGAGATCAAAATAAATGAAAATATTGTGTTCATATTGAGGATTATTTAAAATATCTTCAAATTAACTAGAATAACCGTGATGCTTTACATATTTTATTCAGGACTATTTTATTAACCATTGTCATTGTATAACATTACGAAGCAAAAAGATTGAATAGGCTGGATAATGTCGTGAAGAGGACGTTCTAACAAAGCCGCAGTAGCTTTAAAACGCAACAATACAAATACCGTAAACGCACTCGTACAGTATCTGCACGTTTCGAGTCGTATAATAAAATATTTAATTAACTTACGATTTTCTGCGATGGTTAAATAATTGAAAAATCTTCTTTGTAGTCCCCGTAAGTCTTATTGAAGATCACCTAAACATTTTTAACACTTCACTGATTACCGACATTTACCGTAAACACAGGAAATTATCTGCATTGCCAGCAAATAATTGAAATAAAGATAATTTTTTCGCGATATCCAGAGCTACGGAGTGAAGTTGATTTTGTAGCAATGCAGCGTTGTGCGCATGTTTTATGAATGAACACCTTCTTGCGCAGATCCGCAGACCGAGCATACAGGGCAAGTTCATTTTAATTTGTTATTGACAATTTTCATTAGCGTCAATGAACTTTGAGTGGCGACTACATAGAGAATTATAATGTTCTTGTTCTTGTATTGTTATTATTGCCCTCAACTGTAATTGTAGCCCATTTATTGAATTGGGCGCGTAATAGTTCACTTCCTTTTTATCGCCAAAGTGCGTTCCGTTTCACGGAGTTCACTCACCACGGAAAATGTTCCTTTTGATTTTGAAGAGACACACTTATTAGGTTGTTAACTTGTTGTATCCTTAAATATTAACTTGTAAATAATTTAACAGGGCAACGGACTAGTAGCCAGACATCGCTCTACTTAGAACATTTACACGAACTGTAATCAATCGCAAACGCCTTACAATTTTAGTATAGCAATCATTTGTAGGAAACATTGCAGAAACGCTAAACATAGGAACTACCTCAAGATAAAATGCCGGAATGCCGGACCGGAAGACGCTTTTCAATATAAAAATGGGTTAACTTTTTGTTATTTTTGTAGTACCTAATTAAGAATTCGAATATTTAACTCAAGAAGTGGTCGCCTTAATTCAATTGTTTTATTTAATAGTCAGTTAAACTTACTTCTACTGAATAGAAACTTTTTAACTTCTTTCTTTTTTATCATGTCAGCACTTTTGACATAATAATGACACAGATTTTGACAATTTTCGTTTGAGTAAATCGAGGAATCTTCTGTGTTCCCAAATGGGTGATTTAAATAATTCATATCTTGGAATTTTATTACAATCACGATGAATTCCAACGACACAAACATTAACTAATAAAAAACAAAAAAATGGCGTACTTCGCCCTTCTCTGGAAGGCAAGGACCATAGAAAAATACAGGCAGAAGTATGAATCCGAGAAGATCAAGACCATCATGCTTGCCAACACTCAAATACCAAAGCAGTCTTTGTCCCAAAGATGGAGGCATTATCGATATGACACTCAGAAGCGCATATCCAGGACATTTAGGAAGTGGTACCCTGAAGGATCATCGCTATCAAACTTTATTTACTACCTCAAAACCGATCAGACGTTCCCCAACTTCGTCTTAAAAAGTGTTTTAGGATTCTTTGGCGGCACGATCCTTACTTATTTGTGCTTCATGTTCTTTGTTTTTCAACTTTCAATATCTTTGATCCATGCCACTATTATGAGTTCAATCATCGGTGTTCTACTTACTTTGGGGCTGGCGTTCAGTTATAGGATTCGGTAAGATTTAATACAATAAGATTTCAACTTTAGATAGTTTTGTACCAGAATAATATTAAGTATTGTAAGTAGGTACCTAGCTACTTACTTACAGTTGTTTGTTAGATTCATAATCTTATTTCTGACAATGTTTAAGATAAAATTATCACTTCACGGGATTTATTGCAACAATATCAAGAATAACAATAGAAGAGCGCCAAGCACTTAAAGACCTGCGACAGAACCAGGATATACTCGTTCTGTAAGCTGACAAAGGCAACGCCACTGTAATTATGAATACTGAGGACTATGCCAGTAAAATTGGAAATATGCTAGCTGACACGACAGTATACAAACCAGTGTCATACAACCCTACTGCCAGAGTGACACGACGCATTCGCGCCCTCATCCAGGAGCACCGAGAGCTATTTACAGAAGACGTGTATACATACTTGCATAAAGCAAAAAACGTACAGCCACCAAAACTATATGGTCTGCCTAAAATACATAAGAGCAACGTTCCACTTAGGCCGATCGTGAGTCAAATTGATTCACCTACATATAAGTTGGCAAAACATGTTGCTGGAGTGTTGCAGCCATTAGTTGGGAAGACATCGTCCTACGTGAAANCAATTTTTAAGTTCTTTTTTGAGACAACAGGTTCATAAGCGGTTTAGGCGTGAAATCATAAAACGAAGACAAACATACAGAATTAGTTGCACTTAAGTTGCGCCGCTGGACTATAGTTGTGACACAAGCATATTTAGCTTACCACGAGGGGTTACAACTTACTTATTTCTTTAAAAAAACAACGCAAAGCGCTCTGCACCGTGTAGCAATCACCTTTATGTGACGTCAGACAACGAAACCCAAGTAGCATCAGATTATCTTCATAAGGCATTGAAGATATCTTGAAGACTAATAGACTAATTCCAGCCGTTGTCTTGGCCAAGACAATAGTCGCACTCAAGAAATCTTGAAGTTATCCCCCAAGACAATGGTAAGCAAAAAAGGGCACAATCCTTTGGAAATCACTGAGACAGAGTTAAGACAACGCTTAAGGCAGATTTAAACCCTAATTAAGAGTGTAGTTTTAAGAATTTCTAAACAATTACTATAATATATCTTGTAGTATGACTGTAGACAAGGAAATAGAGTTGAAGATATCTTGAATACTTATTTAAGACTAATAATTATTTTTAGAGCTAAGGTTTATTTAACTTCATGAAGAACTATGTAAGACACTTTTTATTAAAGAGGAACTTTAATTTAGAAAACATTGTGATCTTTAACACTAAATCAACTTTAGATAAAGGTTAATGAAAATGGCGATTACATTATTTTAATAAGTAATTTATATTATGTCTAGAAAAGACCGTGAATGTCATTTTTGCATAGGAAATATAAAACGCAATGTGGTTTCTCGTGTAAAATCAATGGATAATGTTATAAAACAGGAGGGCCTTGAAAAAACCTAATAAGATCAATAAAATATTACGAAATTGTATTGTATAAATAAAAGTTTGAGGTTATAAAATAATGTTTTATTTTATGCAAACATTCTTAGACATTTATACAACTAGAAATAGTGTAACAAAGACGTACTTCAATTTAAATGTCCTCTTGTTATGATATTATTGGTTAATTTCTGATTTATTTTTTGTTACACATAGCTCATAATGGCGGTAATTCTAATTTGTCTTAATGTAGCAAGAGTATAGAAGATTTTGAATTTGTAAGTTTAGTAAAGAAAGAGTTGAGTCAAGTTATACTTTACATAGTATTAGTTAAGAAACATTAGATTTAACTTACACTTAAAATTCACTTGATGAAGTATTACTTAAGTGCATGTGGTATCAAGTAGATCTTTAGTTTTAATTAGTTAAAACTAGATAGTTTTCATTCTGTCTTAGTCTTGCTAAATTATTGGTGCTGCTATACATTAGAGAACAATTCATTTACTAACATATTTATTAATTTTATTTTATTTTAATTCTAATGGGACTAATTAGTTTTTACGTTTTTAGTTTTATTATGACATATAGGGGAAAGTTCGGTATATTGTACTGGTGGGTAAATTGCACCACCCATATTTCGTAAAGTATTCTTTGAACTCTGTAATTGCTACACTCAGCGATAAGCAATTAAATTAATTGAATATCGGCCATATATGATTTTTGCCGTGTGTTCATTACACATGACATATTTTATTGTGAAAAGTTTTTATTTAATCGTTTTTATGGATTTTTTTTTATCCACAACGATGAAGCTCTTGGCCTGTATCTCTCCTGATGGTAAGTGACGATCAGGCCGAAGGTGGAAGCGAGCTTCGCCCGGAATCCTCAAACACGGAGGAACTGGCTATCTTACCTCTAACTGCCGGAACACAATAATGATGTTAACATTGTTGTTATGGCGACAGACTTAGGTAAGATGGTTGTAGCTGGCCAGGCGGATTTAGAACAAGCCCTACCACCTACCAAACCGAACAGAAAAATCTGCCCCCACTAGAAATCACTCTGCGTCTGAAGCAGGTGGTCTTACCACTAGACCACAGAGGCGGTTAAAGAGGAAAGAGAGGAACTTTTAACAATTTGTAATTTTGTTAATCACACAGTGTTTCTAATTTATTAAATGAGAAGATTGAGAATCGTAAATTAGTGTGGATTACAATTATTACAAATATTTTTCGGTAGTTATTATGTTAAGATTTTTTAAAAGTACCTACTGTCACCTAGTTAGTTAAATTGTATAATATCATTGTTGCACTCAACTTTACCATATAATTTTGTATCAAAAATTAATGCACGCAGGTGCCCGCGGTTACGTGATCCTGTTTTATCGAAATCGTCCCGTTAAGTGTATTTTTTCTCAAAATGTACTAATTCTAGTAAAAAGATAATTAACTTAATCTTCAGAAAACTATTTCTAGGACAATGGTCTTTAAAAAGTCCTAAGTAAATCTACGAATACTTTATTTACTTTGCAACACTTAAATAATACTTCATCTATACTATTTAGTATTAAGTGAGCATACAAAAAATCTTAATTTAGTAAAATAAGATTTTTTTAAATTAAGCTAAAAATAACTTAAGACCAAATTATCTAAAGAATACTTAACTTGGTTTTGGGTATTCTTAATTTGCTTAAGTAGCGCTCGATGAAGAATATAAAGTCTTAAAGAAAAAATCTCTACTCTAAGTGTATTTGGTTTTAGCTTAAGTGTAAATTTAGATAGAGTTAAGACAAGTTAGATTTTGCCATTAATACCAATTGCTACTTGGGAAGCAAAACAATGGAGCATCTTATCATTGCAGAGATAGCCGCCAGTCTTGTATTGTCGCGTTGTAATGAATATAATATTACAGTACTTATTATTATTCTGTGATATTACGCCAAATAAATGGCCGCGCCTCAATTGTGGGGAGTCGGCACACAAATGAGACTGTCCAGATAATACGTTTGGGAAATATTAGACAGCTATCAAGCGTCTTCAATAATAATAGCCTTTATATTTTCCCACAATCAAATTCATAAAAATGATAAGTACGTGCTTTATAAAAAAAAACCGGCCAAGTGCGAGTCGGGCTCGCACACCGAGGGTTCCGCCGTACAAACGTAGCGGTTTACAATTTATGACGTATTAAATCAAATTACTTACTTGATTCCGTTGCGAGTAGTGGCGAATTTCAAAATATGCAGTATGATTATTTTTTATTTATTTATTTTTCCTATATTTGNAAGCCATTGAAATTAAAAAGCATAAGAATTTCAATCGAGAAGATGGATTTAACCTATCATCAGCGTGGAATCCGGTGATAACGAAGTACAAATCGCGTTCTAGGCCGTCTCAGAGAAACCCGGACACTGTTAGTGTAGTTTGTCGGACTGACTGTACCACTGACGAAAATATTGTGCAAATGCGGGTGGGTGAAGAAAACTCATCGCGCCGGAGCAGACGACGCCGCATCTCTTCAGTCTGCCCGCGACCATGACTCGTGCAACCGAGCCGAAACGTCGGGAGGGTAAATATTATTTGCCGTTAAAATAGATATTGTTGCAATAAATCCCGTGAAGTGATAATTTTATAGTAAAAAATGCAACATAATAGTTTAAAATGTTTAAGATGCCACAATTAGTTCATTTGTAGACAAAGGGCTGGCTATCCCCCAAGGATTTCCACAAAGACCGGTTTTGCGCTGCCCATATCCAGGTGCTTGACGCGACCTTTACCAGATCGTTGGTCCACAATGGGAATCCTGCCAACACTAAGTCTTCCGGCTCGCGGTAAAGCCACAGTGTATTAGTCGTTCTCTAGCAAAAAAGGTTTCACCCAATCAAATACCCATCTTCATCATCATCATCGACGGATTAGCAAGCTGAAGTGGCAATGGGCAGGGCACATAGTACGCAGAACTGACGGCCGATGGGGCAGCAAGGTTCTGGAGTGGAGGCCGCGTACCGTAAAACGCAGCGTGGGACATCCACCCACAAGATGGACCGACGACATCATAAAGGTAGCAGGAAGGCGCTGGACGCAGGCGGTCGCTATCAACCGGGCAGCATGGAAAGCATTGGGGGAGGCCTACTATGTTCAGCAGTGGATGTCCTATGGCTGGGATAATGATGATGATGATGAAATACCCATCATAAAGGTAGCAGGAAGGCGCTGGATGCAAGCCGCTACCAACCGGGCAGAAATCATTGGGGGATGCCTATGTTCAGCAGTGGACGTTCTGTTGTTACAATGATGATGATGATGAAATATTCATCTGGCAGGTGTCTGGTGTTCCTCCTGATTCCCCAGTTCTTCTCTCGAGTGGGGCGTTATACCCTGACCTGCTATGCATTGGTGCTGATACTGACTGGCCCTGCTACGAATACCCTCAAGAACTCTGAAGTCCTTTCGGAGTCTTTGGCTTGTGGACAGGTATTAAGACTCGTTTATGCACTAGGATTGCCTTAGAATAGGATCACCCTCATTCTTCCCGGTAACATAGTAAAAGACGACTAAGGGAACTAATAATGGGAACGTCAGGCTTCAAAAGACCGTCTGGCGATCAAGGGGAGTGTAGGACAAACCCAGGGCTAATTTACCAGAGGTAAATGGAGGGTTTCAAAGCCTAAATTAGAGAGGGTCGTGCTCGAGCAGGGAAGTAAAACGATGACGATGGTGATGTCTAATGTAGAGTAGGCTTAGAATATTAAGGCGTTTCTTGGGCAATGATATCTATTAGGTTTTTGTAGGTAGGTCCCGCCCTTCTGACGGGGAGAATCCCACATACATAACCCGCTGGCTGATGGGAGAGTCACTGGGTAATGAGTCAAGCAAAATACTAAGAACATGGAAGTACTTTGTTCAATCACGTCATGTTCATTTGTTACCTGGGTTTATACCTACTCTTCGTTATCAAGTATAGTTAAGTAAGTACCTAATGCTCTCAGTGAGAACTGAACCTAACACAATAACGCGATGGACTGCTGACAATAGCTCTGAGTCTCGCTCCATCTAAATTATTTATGGCGTGATCATTCAAACAGGGAGTGAACCCTATAAACAATGTTCTTTATTAATTTCCCCATCTCACGACTGCAGACGGTACAGTCCTGCTCAAAACTTTGTAGACAAAAATATAGTTCGTTAAACGTAAATAAACGTTACTGACTGACTACTGTACTGTACTGACTGAGATGGGGGAGATGAAAACGACTGACCAACTCAGCATTTATCACATTGACGTCTTTGATTGATACTTACTTACTTGGTTTTAAAGCACAGACATTGATAAACATTTATTTATTAGTAAAATTCATAAAATTCATTTATTTTTGCAAATAGGCTTTTAGAAAGGAGTTATTCGTCATCTCGCACCTCTAAAGATGCGAGTTGGCACCTTCTGTTTTTTATGTCATCAACTCGCACCTTTTTGAAATCTGACGTGTTTATGTATCCTAGTCATCTACAAAAATACTTTTACACGTCCCAATATTAACCCTACCACTGCTTCGGGACAATAAATGGGCAGGACAGTACCTAGAGCAAGTTAGAGTACGCCTCTGTGGCTACGATTTGGCCGTGTTCCCACCACCAAGATTTTCAAAGTAGGTAATCTTTCTGTCAAAAGATGTTTCATTGATGATGAATGAGTACCATTTATGGTAATGTCTTTTGAACTTTTATTTTATAATTTTATCTTTCTGACTGGTGTCATCATGCATAAATAAATAATCATTTATTCTTGCCGTTTTCTCGGTGTTTTACTTTCCGCTAAGCTTTTTCCCGTCGACTGTACCAAAACGAAATCAAATTGAATTTGCTTCGGCTTCTGAACCCGGCCCCCCACGTCTGGCATGAATCTAAACGGTTCAAAGTACAATAAGAACTTTATGCTCTTGATTTAAATGTCAATTTCCTTTGTTGTATGGATACGATAAAATAGTTCTAGAAACCATAAGAAAGTGATAGAGCGTATAAATGGAAATTAAATTCATAATTCAGGCACATATTTCAGAAATTCTTATGGCTCAGTTACAATAAGCGAGTAAATGACCGAGACGAAGTGCGAGCACGTACACCGAAGTATCGACGATCCACGGCGAAACTAACTGAAAATATGCGTGTTTACACTTTGTTTCGATAAATTTCCCGCATAGTCATAGTGTAACTGCGGCATTAGAGATAGGTATTGCAGATCGTAGTGTACAGACGACAGCACATGAGACTATACATTTTTATTGCAAAATAGCCTGTATTACAACGAAATAAAAGCCTAGCCATAGTGTTTGGATAGACGTTTTGGCGTTTGTACAATAAAGAACAACTAAAATTAATGGAGTGATTTAGATGGGAATCGAACCCACTACCTTTCGCGTGACGAGCGGTTATTGTACCTACCTAACCACTGAGTTATTAGTACATTGAACGCCTGTTGAAATATTCCAAGTATTTTTTCAGTCATCTTTCTATCAATGAACTTTCATGACACCCAAAGTGGCCTAAAATTTCACAACAAAGACGCGTTGCGAACTTTTTGGCTACTTTGGGTGTCCCGAACTATTTGACGCTGACTGTTGTTGACTCTGACCTACCTACTTTGTATCCAGCGTAACATCTACATGTACCTCTTTCCTTCACTCTTACAGGAACAGATAAAGACAAGTGTAAACCAAATCAACTCTTTGAGGACTAAACCATTGAACAGCCTGAAGGATTCCATCAAGCTGATGATAGACAGGCTGAGGCAGGTCGCCGTCAAGGTCAAGCAGATGACCCTGAAGATCAATAGCCTGGTTCTGAATATTGGTATGGAAAAGATGAAAATAATAATAATGTCATGGGCGTTTTAATACCAATATTCATCTGGGATACTTCTTTTTATCTAATCTAATCATCTGAACTATAAAACATATAGCTAATGGATTAGGGACTTACCAACAACGTCGGTCGAGTTATTTGCGCACCTTGCTGGAATGCGACTCTCTCGCACTCACCTCGCCTCGTTCGTACCAAGCGTCGCGTCCGGGTTGTAGTACCTAACGTACAAAGGCAATGTAACGTGGGTTTAAAACTTATGCGTCCAAAAAGTTACTGTATTCGCTCACCTCTCCAGTGAAATGTGGGGGACGCTACAATCTAGCTTTAGCGTTTCGGGCAATCTAAGTATTCAAAACCTTGTTACTTAGTAGGTAATCGTACCATTCACTTTGATAGCGAGTGAGGTAGGTACTAACTGCTGTACCTAATGACTCTTATGATTCTCTACTAACATTCTTAAACTCGTGACTTCTCTAAGTACCAGACTGTTCGGGTAAAGCGCATTCCCACAAACAGCAGTCGAATGAATCGATCAACCTTGCCGTATTCGGGTCACCGCGATTATTCCGATTACGTAGAAATGAAACACACACTTGACATTTTTCACATTGAATCGATTGGCATAAGTTTCCACAGAAGGTGGAAGGAAGGGGTGGTTAACTTTTGCAACGGAACATTGATCCATCTTTATAAGCCGTACTTACTTTTTTGGTAATATGACCCAGTAGCCCTAGATGTCAATGAAACATTACTACAAAGGATGAGGGGCACTTTTCTATGGAATCTGGGCGTAAAACCAACAGAAATGTAACTACTATTATTTGTTAGGACTTAGTATCAGAAACATATTTTTATATAAATAACTAACAAAAACTCCCGGGTTTGCTTGGAAATTGACATAATGTATAATAGTCATAGGTGTTTTATTGCGCAAACAAAAAATATAATCAATTAATATACCTACATTGATACATTAAGTTATTTATCAATTATTATGTCCAACAGTTAAGGAGTGGGGCCAACAAATTGTATCAAATAAGTCCATGTTCTACATTACGTGCGTGTGGTCCTACGCACGTAATGTAGAACATGGAACGTAAATGTACGTAATGTAAATGGAACCTACTCGTAGGCCTACCATTTAGAGAAATGAAATGAACACAGTCATGTTTCAATGGGATTTCTACCAGTTAAGCTGTGGTGTTGTCGCATAATCGATCACGGATCGATTATTAATCGATATTGCCAAATAACGATTTATCGATTAACAATTCGATTAATCAATTTTATTGATTACCATCATTACTATCATTTGATTATTAATTCAATTCCGTATTTTCAGCAATATAATCGATTATTTCAATAGAATAATCGATTATGATTTATTCGGTATACATACTTAATAAATCGATAGAATCGATAGTACGATATGATACAATACTCTCAATATGATCGATAAAAGCAATCTAATTGACCTAATACTACACTCAACATCAAATAAACCGCACCTTCCGCGACGCGAACTTTTAAGATTTTCTTCTGACACAATCATGGTACCCCAACAATATTGGTGTTATTTGAAAGCCCAATAAATATCCTTAAAGAAAAATACATTTCATTTCTAAATAAATGATTAACATATACCATAAATGTGACTTGAAAATAGACCTCACTTTGGGCACACCTCTGGGATCAATTAGACCAATTTTTATGGTTATAAAACCAAATAAAGATCTCACGTGTCCTCTTTAACAGATGGATAGCGATTAATCCCAACTTAACAATTTTGTAGTCATAAAAAATGGCTATAGCGTAACTACCTATTTTTTGAAGAAGTGACTCTGGATCCTTGTAAAGACACATTTTTGGGGTAAAAACCTTTCCATTAATGAAATGAAGTTTAGAACTAGGCTTTCAAATGGTACCAATGTTGGTGGGAAGTGGGGATGCATACGTTTGATAAGTGCTTGTCGCGGGAGGTGCGATTTATTTGATGCCGAGTGTATTTTTATTACCCTAATGTGATGAGAAATACTATGGAAACTTTGCATATTCAACGACCTCTATCTCCGTATCCCCGCGTATTTCAGGATTGTTGTCATACTATGAAATGAACTACTAGTATTAAGCTTTAATTTAGTATACTTTTTGTTTCTGTTGGTTTAACGCCCAATATGCCCATCATCCTTTAACGACCTTTCCGTGTCAAAAATAAGCTCCATTGTCAGTGGATCTCCTTCGGTTTGTCATCGTCGGAGGATTTGATGAGTGCTACTGACATTTTGGGCTGACACTGTAGGTTTGTTGTCAACACGAAAAGAAGAAGAAGTGGATCCTCTTACAAAAGTAGAGCAGGAAGGCGCTGGATGCATGCAGTCCGCTACCAATCTGGAAATCATTGGGGGAGGCCTATGTTCAGCAGTGGATGTCGTCCTGTGGCTGAAACGATGATCAATCTAACCATGTTGCAGCACAAGTCATCCAGTCGGGCTTTCTCTGGCTCAACTCCTTGACTTCCACCTGCATCAAAAAACTGGGCAACCCTTACGAAAACTACAGCAAATTCGACAAAGAGGCAGTCTTTACTGAATTGATGGACTTTTTTGGAGCAAATGCTTCCGAATATGAAGAAACGAAGTTGAATCATGGAGTTGTTTGTGTGTTTATAGAACACGTTAATGGAGATATCGTGCCGATTATAAAAAAGAGTGAGTATTGAAGTACCTATACACAATTTCTGATTTCTGATTCACAAACCACCTATTATCCGTCTCTGTGGTTTAGTGGTAAAACCACCTGCTTCAGTTCAGACCCAGAGGTCCCGGGTTCGATTCCCGTAGCAAAATTTTAGGTAGGGCTAGTTCTAAGTCCGCAACACAACAATATTAAACAGCATTGTTGTGTTCAGTTAGAGGTAAGATAACCAGTTCCTCTTTGGTTGAGGATTCCGCGTGAAGCTAACCTTAACCTTGGCTTATAGCTTATTGACCATCACTTTTCATCAAGTGACATACAGGCCTATAGCTTCCTCGTTGTGGATAAAAAAACCCTGATCTTCATGCGGAAACAAACATCTTTGAGGCCCGGATTCTCCAAAGCGAAGATGAGGTGTGTAGGTATTTAAATAACCAATCTCATTTCCGAACCGAAGCTGAGCGGAGAGATGATGTGGAAATAACGAAATCTGATTAATTCAAATACATCTCCTCTGATGTAAACCAGCAGGCCCTAGATTGTACTCCTACGCTTTTCCAGGATTAAGGAACTACTCCGATCGCATCGCAAACATGTTCTCCATGAGGGTCCACGTTCACCATTCCTACTCGTTCAGCAGTAACGACAGCCGTTCAGCCAGCCAGGTGGCTGCCGGCATCGTCACTGAGATCAGGAAGCGGGCTGATCCGCTGATAACCTGGCTGTCTTGGAGCTCGTGTGTGACGAGCTTGTTCTTACTGCTGATAATATTCAGGTTAGAAAGAAAGCTTTTAGGCAATCTTTGGTATGTTATGTTGCTCTCTTGTAATTGTAGTTCTTAATGCTGCTGTAGCAAAAGTCACCTCTCTTAGGCTCTCCAGAAAACTAGAAAGTAAAATCTCTTGGCGTACATAAGCTTGGTCTTTAGAAGTCGATTTTCCTGACCATTCAATTACAGAACCTCATTTGCAACTTCAATTACCCGTATTGTATTAAATCAGGTAGGTACTTGGCAATGCACGTAGCTGATCTTTTATAGTAGCCCTTAAAGCTGAGACAAAACATAGTTTATTTGGTTTTCAGGGCTAAATACTACCAGCACATGTTTGAAACGAGGTCCCGGTTTGACAATCGGTATATCACGAAAGAGATACGAGATCTGGATTTAAAGAGATTGAGGGAAGGCAGAGAGACGATCTTACCACTCAATAGAAGAGAACGAGCAAAATACGTTACGGTAACTTTTCCAGAATCTACCATAGTCCTCAACGGCGCATGCATGAAGGTAGAGCGCGAGAGAAGGGCGTAGGTATAAGCGTTAGACGACAAAGCATAGGGAGGAGAAATGAGTTAGATAACGAAAGAGAAAAAGATTTGTCTAGCTAGATGGTAACCCTAAAGCCTAAAAGTTGAGAAAGTTACGAAAGTTTTATAAATCTACCCCAAAGTTACTTATACAGATCTAGCGTTTAACTCAGCCTGTGCCTGAGATATGGGACCGGCACCACAGAATAATAATAAGTACTACGTACAGAAGTTTTACTTCGCGAAGGTATTTAAAAAAATGTATGCTCAATGTCATTAACAATATGGTGTAATTTAGCCTGTCTCAAAAGTCAAGCACCATTTTATTGACAAACGTCAGTGATCGGCACTGCGCCGAAGCTATAGGGCTGACTTCGGTAAAATGATGTGACGTGAGGTGCCAAACTGCGGAAAATGGCGGAGGAAATATGATTTAGCATGAATTATCATGAACAATATTAACTACTTATTTACCTCTCAGTGTCTTGAGGCAACTTAAAAAAGTACATTCTGTGTTTTTATTATTATTTAGGCAGTTAAATACTGCACATTATTTAGTACACCATTTTCTTTATTTTCTTCTATCATACACAAGAATACGCGTGCGTGAGTCAATGTTCGCTCGTATGTGAGGCCTTGTCGAATAGTATCCTGTAGGTGGGCCATCGTGCGTGTTTTGTTTTCGATGTAAACTCACGGAGATGAACAGGCCTGCCGGCACGGGGACATTGACATTAGTATGACGTGACAGGACATACAAATCTGAAGTCTCGCTTACGTTTGACCGTCACAAAGTCATCCTCCCGTACCGCTCCCATACCTCAGGCGTTGACTGAATTAAGCATTAGACCTATGGTTTATGTCGATGATATAAAATTATTTTCAGACCACCTCCTTCAGACTTGTGGCATCAGAGAAAGTGTACCTGAACCGATCGGTGGTGTTCATGTCAATAACCACATTCAAGCTGCTCATCCACATGGTGGCGGATTACAGCCTGTACTGGGTGCTGATGACGATCAGATATCATGGGCGGATGCAGTCTCTTATCCATCGTAAGTTGAGTTAGTGTATGAAAGACCACTAAGTCGCTGGCATAGCCCGACGGATTAGCAAGCTGAAGTGGCAATAGGCAGGGCACATAGGACGCTGAACTAACGGCCGATGGGGCAGCAAGGTTCTAGAGTGGAGGCAACGTACCGGAAAACGTGCCTTAGGACGTCAACCCACAAGGTGGACCGACGACCTCATAGCTAGTAGGAAGGCGCTGGATGCAGGTCTCTACCAACTGGGCAATATGGAAATCGTTAGGGGAGGCCAATGTTTAGCAGATGCCATGTTTGCTGTGGCTGAAATGATGATGATGATGAAAAACACCATACTTTTGGATCTCTCTTGATTAATCTACTAAAATTATTCTTGAAAAATTAAGGGTAATTTTGATCTTCTATATTTTAGCTGGTCATCCTACTGCTGGAGCACACAATATATCAGGGTCTGGTCCTACAGCAGATCTTCTCAAGTCATTACTGGTCTCATTCGGTGTTCTTTTGGAATTTCCTGCCTCTACTCCTGTATCGTGCCTTCCCAACCCTCACCCACCAGACTTCAAACGGTACACTCAAATTGGTGAGTAATCCAATTTCATACCCACAATGTTGGCTATACTTAAAGGGCAATGGAGCATGCTATGCGCGGAGTTTCCCTGCGTGACTGAATCAGAAATGAGGACATCCGTAAGAAATCTCACTCACCACTTGCTCGTAGAACTAATGGCCGCTGGGGCAGATGGGTAGATATAGTGTGGGTAAGCCTCCTACTAGATGGATGGACGTTCTGGTAAAAGTCGCGGGAAAACCTGGATGCAGGCAGCGCAGGACCGGTCTTTGTGGAAATCCTTGGGGGAGGCCGTTGTATAGCAGTCGATGTCATTTGGTTGAAACAAACGAATGTTTCTCTAGTCTTAGAATATTTGCCCTTTTCTGTGAACAAGGCCNAAAAAATTTTTCGGGCATTATTTTTTAACGGATTTGTGATCAGTATCAGTAATATAGTCACCTCTGTAAATATGGCAAGAATGCAAAGTAACACCCTGTATACTTTGTAGGGCAACAAGCCGATGACGTCGCCATTTCGCCAACTCAATTGACTGACTAATACCAATTTCAAAGCAACGAAATTTTTTAAATAAACAATGAGGGCTATCGTTTTAGCGCTCACCAGTTAGCGCCACTGTAGAGTAAGGTCCTGTCACTTGCTAGTAGCGAAGACAGTGGCACCAACTGGTGAGTGCTTAAGTGGTAGGAGGACTATCGCATTTGCACTCATCAAGATGGCGCCACTGTAGAGTAAGGTCCTGTCAATCGCCAGGGGTGCCAACTGTTAAGTATAAATACGATAGCTCTCATTGACAAAGACTTCCCCCAAGGATTTCCAGAACGACTGGTCCTGCGCTGCCCGCATCCAGGCGCTTCCCGCGACCTTCACTAGGTCGTCAGTCCACCTATTGTGAAAACTAATTGAATTTTAGGGCTATGATGAAGTGTTCTGTTAGTTAAATTGTACCCTTTTTTTTTTTTTTTTTTTTTTTTTTTTTTTTTTTGTACGTGGAAAAAATGCATAAAACTGCATACCCGCCGCTGTGGTCAGGCGACGGGTTATGTGGGGCTCTCCATGCCAGAAGGGCAAGGCCTACCCACTAAAACAACCACGAATGTCCTTCTTTCTGGGCATAGGGGAAATGCCGGTATAGCGAACCTTGTCCCGATTTCCGCCTATGCCCAGTTTGTCCAGCAGTGCGGACCCACCTTTTGTGCCACGGACATCGAGTGCGCTTTCGCGCATACTATGTACAGAACTATACAAACATACAGAATATTTACAATAAGATATTATTTACAATAACAATTATTTACAATAAGATCCAGTCAACAGGTGTAAAGAGCCTGTCGACTGGCGCTCATCAGTCCTCTCCTAGTTAACTATCAGAGACGGCGCGCAAAAGCCCGCCGCCTCTGGCCCACCCTCTTGCGGCGTATGGGATCGGCAGAGGGATCCTCCTCCCTTTCCCGTTCCGCTGCCTCCTTTGTGGCAATCACAGCTTCGCAGAAAGCCTTGACCGCGTCCCATCCTGGTTTGCTGCCAACCATGGCCTTGATCATTGCCGGCAGTGTAATGTCCAATCCGATTGCCGCTTGGAGCCTGGCTCGTTGCGGCGCCCACGCGGTGCACACCTCAAGCGTGTGCTCCGCCGTATCTACCGGGTCATCGCAGTGGTGACACGCGGTGGTCCTCTCGCGACCGATGCGGTGCAGGTATTTCCCGAAGCAGCCATGTCCGGTCAGTACCTGCACCATCCGGTAAGTGAGAGGACCCTCTCGTGCCTCCAGCCATTGTCTTAAACAGGGCTGCAATGCGGTGACTGTGCGGTGTCCTGCGCTAGGCTCTGCTAGCCAGTCTGCCCACTCATCGATGATTGCTTCGCGCGCCTCCTCACGCCAGTGCTCGACCTCGCGAGGTGCTGGAGGGTTACCGCTGCTCCTCGCGGCAGCGGTTCGGTGGTATACCTCTGCCAGCACCTCTGCCTCTAGCTCCCACGGGGGAGTACCTGCCAGTGCACACGCAGCCTCACGGGAGACCGTGTTGTATGCGCGTACTAATCTTTTGGCCATAATGCGTTGTGGCCTCCTCAGAGCCGAGATGTTTTCCCTTCCTAGGGCGTCTACCCAGATGGGTGCTCCGTACAGGGCCATAGATCTTACGACCCCTGCAAATAGACGGCGGCATCCCATGTGTGGGCCTCTCAAATTGGGCATAATCCGGCATAAAGCCCCGGACACTCTAACTAACTTCGGGGACAGAACCTTGAAGTGAGCCTTAAAGTTCCACCGGCTGTCGAGTATCAATCCAAGGTATTTCATGGTAGACTCGACAGCGATGGAGATGCCACCCACGACAATTTCTGACCCTACTGGGGGCCTTTTGCGTGGCCCATGGAAGCAGATGGCCTCTGACTTGTGCAAGGCCACCGTGAGACCAAGGCGTCTGATACGTCCGACGACTTCCGCTACTCCTGCCGTTGCGCGAATCGCCGCTTCCCTATAGGTCTTATCTTTGGCTATAACTAACGTGTCGTCTGCATAGCAGACGATCTTGATGCCGGGCAGCTGATTTCCTCTGATGGCCCAGTCATAGCCGATATTCCACAGGAGCGGCCCTAGAACCGACCCCTGTGGAACACCGCACTCTACTGGCCTTCGGCCCCACCCGTCAGCCGTCGGAAAGATCACCTCTCTGTCTGCTAGGTAGTCCCGGATAATGTTTTGTAAGTATTGAGGGACCCTATGGTGCTTCAGAGCCTCCTCTATGCAACTGTGGGGGATACTATTAAAAGCATTGGAGATGTCCAACGATACCGCCACAACGCTGCCCCCTCTAGCCACCTCTCGCTCGGCGACATTCTTAACTTCGGCTATGGCGTCCACTGTGGACCTGCCATGCCGAAATCCGTACTGGTTTGTGGCCAGATTTGGCCCTATCTCTTCCAAATGCCTGATGAGACGGACAGCAATGACCCGCTCGAAGAGCTTTGCCGCCTCATCCAACAGGACAATGGGTCGATACGCCGACGGGGAGTCCGTAGGCCGACCCTCTTTTTTTAGGAGGACGAGCTTTCCTATCTTCCATTGTAGTGGAAAAATTCCTCGGCTCAGGCAAGCCGTCAGCAGCGCTCGAAACCGCGGCTCCAGCCCGTTTTTTAGGGCGAGCACGAGGGCCTTCCCTGGCACTCCATCCGGTCCAGGAGCGGTTTTCTTTGCCTGAAGGCGCAGAATCGCCCCTCCTAGTTCTCCCTCTGTGACGTCAGGGGCTTCACCCGTATCTGCCTCAGCCGCACTGTACCTTACCGGCGGCGTGAAATCCGGTCTTGCTGGAAAAAGGGCCTGAACGACAGCACCAAGAAGGCCAGGGTCCATACTGGTAGTTATTGGAGGAGCCCATGGACGAAGTTTACTCATGACGAGCTTATAGGGCCTCCCCCATGGATCCTGTTTCAGGGTGGAGAGGAGCTCCTCCCAGGCGGCGTTTTTAGCCTCCCCTATCGCACCCCGCAGCTCCTTTTTGGCACTTTGGTACAATCCGTACAGCGGGGCGTCCTGCGTCTCGTCTCTGCGTTGTCTTCGACGGTGTCTAGAGTAACGGCGTCTGGCCGTGACACAAGCCTCCCTTAGTTGAGCCAGCTCAGGGGACCACCAGTACACGCCTGTGCGTGACGGCAACTTCCCTACTCTGGGCATTGCCGCATCGCACACGCGTGACATGGCCTCACGGAGCCAATTGACTTCGCTGCTGGGCTCAGTTGCGTCCGACCACGGCGACCAGCTTTCTATCAGTGACGCAACTGCTAAGGTGTCTCTGTCCAGTTTCTTCAGAGCCCATCGTGGACCCGTCGTCTCTGGGGAACGGTTCGAATAGCTCGGGACGGTGAACCGGAGGGGGGAAATGTCGAAGCATATGTACCTATGATCCGACAAAGTCTCGACCTCCTCCAGCACCTCCCAGTTCTGTACCCGGCTCGCCAGGGCGGGAGTTGCGAACGTGATGTCCACAACTGAGCCACCCTGCATCCGCACGCACGTGTTGACCGTTCCCCTGTTTACAATCACCAGGCCGTTTGACATGAGCCATTCCTCTAGTAGCTCGCCTCTTACATCCGTTAATCGGGATCCCCAGGCCGTAGATTTGGCATTAAGGTCACCCATTACTACAGTATGATGTGGGCAGCCCCAGCCAGATGTAAGGGATCCTATCTCTGCTAAGAATATTTCGAATTCCGCGATAGAGCGGTTCGGTGAAAAATATCCTCCTATTACAACAATGTCTCCAACCAGGACGGCAACACATCCACGACCTCTTCGAACTTTTTTGAAAGGGCCAGAGTTGGCTGCCGTGTTAGTAATGACTACTACCTTCTCGTCGGTGTCGCCAGCCCAGTCATCCCGCTTGTGGATGAGGTAGGGCTCGGATACTACACATATTTGGGTCGACCACTGTGCCATGCTCTGGTGTAATAGATCCTGAGCCCTAGCACAGTGATTGACATTCGCCAAAAGAAATTTGGATGCCATCTTATTCGCCGGCCATTTCTACCTCCTCGGGCCCCTCTTTGGGGTGAGATGGCTTTGGCTGGTCTTTTGCACTTGCCGCCGCTCTTCTCCCAACCTTTATACCCGGGGCTTTACAGGCCTTTGTGCCTATGCGGTGCCCCGCCGGTTTCTCTGCAGCTGCGCACACTGAGCAGTGGGGCTCGTTAGAACACGCTGCTGCTTTGTGGCCCAGTTGTCCGCATCTAAAACACTGCCGGCTACGGTCCACCTCAGCCGGACATACTGCTTGTACGTGCCCGGCCTCAAGACACCGAAAGCATCGCAGTTCTCTTGTCGGTAGGAGTCTCACCCTAGCGGCAACCCAACCCACCAAAAGGCGACCCTCCAGCACCAATTTTGCCGCTGCAACTGGGCAGCTAACCCACGAAGTGAAGAGACCAGTGTGGTCACGACGCGGGGAGCCAACCTTGACCTGTTCGGCCGGACAACCTCCAACCTTGACCACCGCACCTTTTATTTCCTCTGCTGTGACGGAGTCGTCTAGGCCTGACACTCTAAGATTCGAGCATTTAACAGGTCTTGACACTCGTATCTCGTTCTCATTATATATAGTCTTAAGTTTTTCGGCCAGGGAGTCCGCCTTTGCATCATTAGTAGCGCCGGGGATCTCAATAATTGTAGCGCCTGTAATGGCTCTTCTGAAGCGAACAGCCTCTATGCCGAGTTCGGCAATGTCGATCCGCTGCTTTGCTTCCCGAATGGCCTTCTCATATGACACCCCCTTTTCTTCTGCCCCGGGCTGTACGGACAGAACCACAGCTGCAGACTTTGGGGGGCGAATTTTCCTCGAAGCGGACTGAGCCGCTTTCTTTTGCGCCTTGGTGGGCCCTCTGCTTCCGGCGTTGCCGTTGGTTTTCCCCCTCTTTGTAACCGTATTCCAGCCCTCGCTCATCGAAGCTGGGGCAGGAGGTAAGGTTCGAGGAACGGGCGGAGCAGTGGCTGATGGTGCCACATTTGAACTTTTGCCCTTCCGTTTCTTACTTTTTGCTTTGCTCTGTGAGCCTTCATTGGCCTTAGGAGCATCTGTCTTGTCCTTAGCCGGAGCCCGGGTGCTTTCAGATGTACGAGGTTTCTCCGGATGTCTCTTTTCTGTGATTTTCTTAGGGGTAGCCTGTACAGAGGCCTCCTCTTGCCTCCTCTCAAACGCCAGGGCTGGACGAAGCCGAGGCTCGGGGTTAAGGCGCGGTTCCAGTCCTTCAACACGGGCATTGATCCGCGCCGTTGCTGCACTTAAAATCTTCGCAGCCCATTCTTCCATGTTGGGGGCCGGGCCCTCAGGGATAGCGTTGGCAGCTGCAGCCGCAGGACGGGTTACAGCTTTGGCTTTCTCCTCCTTAAATTTGGCAAACTCGCTGCGCAGCTCGGCCAGCTCCCGCTTCAGTTGCTCGTTCGCCTTGGTGAGAGTTTGAATTTCCTCACTTTGTGTCCTCTGCATCAGTGTTTCGATCACTGTCCCTACTGTAGCGGCAGCCTCGTTGAAGGTACCTTGGAAGGTCCCTTTCAGGTTGCGGCTATTTTTTGCACAATACAGGATGGCGTCTGTGCTCGCCTGGGCCGCCTCTGCGAGTTCTTGTGCGGTCAGGTCTCGGTTGAGGTATTGCGCCCGCGTTCTCATTTTTTTAAGTTTTTCCGTGTAAATGGCGGCCTTATTTTCAGCATCTACGTTCAGGTTCTTCCTCCTTTCTCTCTTGTGCTGTTCCTTAGCAGCAGGACTTTCGGTCCGGGTACCACTAGTAGTCACTGGCCTGCCCCGGCCTCTCTTTGTATATATCGCCGACTGGACCTTCTGTGCTCGCACCGAGCAGTCCGTCGTTGATCCGTCATCGTCCACGTTCGAAAAGTGACGCTTGCGCGACCAGAAGCGTGGAGAACGCGATCCGGCGCGCGATCCATGTGTGCCGTCTGACCATTGGTCGGCATCAAGCCGTTGAAGTGAAACCCGCAATTCGCGATGTCCCATTTCGTCGAGGTTTAGCTCGAAGCTCCCACTTCCTATACTATTTACAGATATACAGTCTTCTTTATTTACAGCAGTGATTTCCTCTTCTATAGACATACTATTTACATTCTCGACGACCTCTCGGTCCTCCCTATCTTCCAACGAACTATCTACAAACGCGGTTTCCCGCGGAACAGGCTTGGCCTCCCCGTATACGCGAGGCCGACTACCCTGAGGGCAGCCACGGGATTCCCCAGCTTGGCTGGGACCCGCCCGGGTAACATTCATTTGAGCGCTGTCCATTTTATATCTCTGCTTGCGGGCGCAGCTGCCCCACCTTACTCCCGGGAGCGGTAATAGCCGACGTTACTCCGCCGACCATATCGAGCCTATGAAGACCCGATATCGTTCTTCGGCCCGCTCCACACCTTGACGTTTGAGGGTTTTAGAGACTTTTCCTTGTCTTGGCCCCGGCTTCCGTAGCCGGGACCCCCGGCCCCCCTCCATTGGGGGGTTACGGGTTGCCCGACAGGCCCGCCGAGTTGACGTAACCTGCCGCGCGGGTGAAGAGTCAGCCGCCCGCGTGACAGAACACGCGGACGTTGCCCGGGGTACACCACGTGGAGGTCCCTCACCATCGCACCCCTAGTTAAATTGTACCCTGGAATTAGTATATTCTGTCAACTACCCAATTGACGTCACGACAATGCGACAACGCTTTTCATGATGTCGTGTTATTTGTTTTGCAAAATCTATTGTTTTAAGTGACATTCACAGTAACCCATTTAGTTAAAATTGACAAAACATTACGCGACGAGTGGAAAACTTCGTTTACATTTATTTATTAGTACAGCTTTTGTCCGCGGCTTTGCTCGCATGAATTTTGGCATTCGGTCACAGAAAACAGTGGCGCGCGTGCCCCCTTTCAAAAACTGGGATAAAAACTATCCTATGTTCTTCCCTAGGTCTCAAACTATCTCTATACCAATTTTAATCCAAACCCAGTTCAATAGTTTAAGCGTGAAAAACATCCACCAATCCTCTCAAACTTTCACATTTATATCTCGTAGAAGGAAGCAGGAACTGGTGTTAACTGCCCTGTTATAAAAATCCTTGGGTGAGGCCTTAGTCCAGCACTGGACGTCATTTGTCTGACACGAACCAACTCAGTTAAAAACTGGACTTCCCAAACATATCTCCAATGTACCAAAAACAACAAAATAATAATTCAAAACGTCTCTCCCCAGATCGTCGATGTATATGACAACACATACGGAGGCAAGCGATGTCTCCTCGTGGTCATGGAGTGCATGGATGGAGGAGAACTGTTCCAGAGAATCCAGGATAACAGGGAAGGAGCATTCACCGAAAGACAGGCGGCAGAGGTAAGCCCTTATGTCCCTAATAAGCAGGAGCTTAAGGCTGCTTTTCCCGTGAGAAAAATGAGCGATGCGAGGATTCTTTCATGGATAGAGGAGAACTGATCAGAGAGGCAGGCAGCAAAGGTAGGTAGACCAACTGCTCAGAGAGAAAAGTACCAGAGGTAGACCCTTATGTCTCTTCTATTAAGAAAGACCTTTAGGTTGCTTTTACATTGAAGATGTGCGTAGCTGCGTTTCAAAAAAGGCGTTTTGACAGCGCCAATAAGATCTCTTCTGACTTCACAGGATAGGTTAACCTTAGCTCATCTTCAGTGGCTATCAGACTTGAGTCTATATTTCACCGGGACACCATGGCGGCGCAACCAGTCGCCGGCTACCAACAAAATGTATACAGCTCTATAGAGAGTTACTCACCTGGTGTCCGTTTGGTTGCGCAAAGCTGCATACATTTTGTTGGTAGCGGCGACTGGTTGCGCCGCCATGGTGTCCCGGTGAAATATAGCCCTTGAGGTCCTGTTATTAAAAGGGGAATAACCCCCAGCTCTTTTTCCCTCCTCCACCATAATAACTCTTGATAGCAAGGATACAATTAAATTGTATTTAATTGAAGCCAAGTTTTGGCATCCAATCAAACCCAACCAGTGAAGGTTGTTTAGAACCCGCAATGAATTTGATCACAAGAAGTTCTGCCCGACTACGCCAGAAAGAGGGTTATTGTGATCTTCGTTCTGTAATAAGCACTGACATTTGTCTCGCTATTTGAACCTAAATTATACAAATAATGCAACCCCATTCCACAATACTAATCATTGCCACAATAATCAGACGAAAATAGCTCAACAAACGGTATAATAAGAACGCTAATATCTTGGCACGGGCGAGTCCATTATTCGTGTGTACTCGTATAAATCAAGCTGACTCAGCTATTATTGTTGGTCTACGAAGAAATGGGGGTATAAGTACAGTCTGCGTCGATCACACTTACAACCTGGTTGAGTTAACTGCGCACCCGGCATCCGTGACGTCACATCCTCGCTCTGGTTTCTGCGAGAAAGAATCGGGTCCGTGGCCGAGTCCCCCAGTTTTCGACGCACCCGTGGTCGACGCCCCCGGTCAGTTAAATTCGATTTGAAGCAATTTTTAATCAAATGTACAGTCAGGCACAAAAATGTTTATAAACGAATAAATATTTATTAGGCCAGTAAAATTAAACACAAAAATGAATCTAATGAAATGAAAATAATTCCTACAAAAGTTTTTTGTTTCTTACTACTGCTGGTTTTGGGTTAAAATTTTGCTCCCAGATTGCATAAATAGCGTCAAACATGCATAGTTTAGTATAATAATTAGCTTGTGAAACTTTTTTCGTTGACTGTACTTAGTGCAAAAGCCAAAAAAAATATGATATTAAATTTATTTAAATCGGGGGCGTCCACCACGGGTGCGTCAAATACTGGGGGACTCGGCCACGGACCCAAAGAATCGCATTCCAGCGAAGTGCGCAGTTGACTCGATCGGGATCTCATTAATGACTATGTATGCTATGGTATCAATTTAAAGTAAGTATAATATTACCTTTAAATGGTACCATTTATCTTCTACTAGCTTTCCGCCCGAGGCTTCGCCCGCGTGGAATTTTGTCTGTCACAGAAAAACTTTATCGCGCGCGTCCCTGTTTCAAAAACCGGGATAAGAACTATCCTATGTTCTTTCCCGGGACTCAAACTATCTCTATGCCAAATTTCATCAAAATCGGTTGCGAGGTTTAAGCGGGAAAGCGTAACAGACAGACAGACAGACAGACAGACAGAGTTACTTTCGCATTTATAATATTAGTTGGGATAATAATATGTTATTCTGGGTTATAAACAATAATAATGTAAAGTTTCATCGAAATTCGTTCAGTAGTTTTTGCGTGAAAGAGTAACAAACATCCAGACATCCAAACTTTCGCATTTATAATTAGTAGGATTAAAAAAAGTAAGTATAATATTACCTTTAAATGGTACTATTTTTAATTATCTTATATTAGTTATTTAGTTCTTACGATCGCTCAGAACAAATCATTCCATACTCGCGAGTGTAGTTCGTGACTCTCAAAGTGGCCAAAAAGTTGACAACACAACCTTATTCCAATTGTAATAAATAAATAAAAATTCTTTATTTCAGACAATTTTAAAAAGTCCATATTAAGCGGGTTCAAAAATAAACATACACACAAACAATAACAAATTCAAAAACTTATACCCTGTGCAGAGACGGACCATCATGGGGGTGGATAAGGCCCCGTGATCAGTCTCTGCACAAGACACTTCCATAGCGGCGATGTGTATCTGTCCGCTAGGGTCCTCAGAATGCTGTTGCGACTGGCTCGCACCCTGGTAATAAGGGATACAGATTTCTTGCGTATTATGGCGCTAAACCCGTCTGTTTGGTAATCCGCAAACATCCCTGATGCGCTACAAAAACGAGGCAGTCTCAACAGCATCCCGAATATATTATTATATTGGACGCGCATAAAGCCGTGTTGCGAACTTTTTGGCTACTTTGGGTATCACGAACTATTTGACGCTGACTGTACATGAGATTACATTGTCATTGTAAAATGTAATCTATTACAACTGCATAAGATAGTATCATAGCTTCTTTATACAGGGTGGAAACTATAAGTGATCTCACTCGATTATTTCTAAACTATACAAGATATCCAAAAACTGATCACTGATCCTAAAGCTCGATTCACACATATCAGTGAAGCCACAGTTCCGTCACAGTACCGGCACAGCGCGAAATATTCTTTCATACAGTTTCTATCGTCACTGACACACTTGTCAGATGTATGGGATGCGTGCCGGTACTGTGACGTAACTGTAGCTTCACTGATATGTGTGAATCGAGCTTAAATGTGCTTCACGAGCTCTATCCAACGGTACCAATAATAGGTTACAAAATGAATTGGATCTATCTTAATATTATGTGGTTTTACTAAATGTATGGAGGCTGAAAACATTGAATTTTCGGATAGATCCAGTTTATTCTGTAACCTATTATTGATACCGTTTGATAGATCTCATGAAGCACTTTCAGGATCAGTAATTAGTTTTTCCATATCTTGTATATTTTAGAAAAAATCGAGTGAGATCAGTTATCGTTTCCAACCTGTATAAGGCTTGGGAAACATTAGAATTAATCTCTGGCAGCACCTAGATTCACGGGGTGTCCTAAAAATAGCACGTTATACTGACACCGCAGGTAGATCCAAAGACACATCGAATAAATTTAATATGTCCGTAGAAAAGTTTCATGAATTTTTAGATAATGACCAATTTCAATTGACCTTTAAAACGGACAAATTAGACTTTTTCGAAGCGTTTTAGTTTACCAATCGATCAACATGGAAAGCATTAGGGGAGGCCTATGTTCAGCAGTAGACGTCCTATGGCTGAAATGATGATGATGATAAAGCGTTTTAGACCCATCTAATGACAGTTTAACTTTCTCCCGGGACAACTTGACCTTCACTGGTTGGGTTTTTATTGGCGGTCAAGCTGTAGATCCTGGCTACACAGGAGTTGCAGCGAGAGGTGGGAATAGTCCCGTTACACGTTTAATATTTTGCAGTTAGTAAAAACTCTTTTTTTAACTTCAATGTTTTTTATTCCACAGATAATGCACTCAATCTGCGTAGCCGTCCGTCACCTCCACGACTCGAACATAGCCCACCGGGACATCAAACCCGAGAACTTGCTCTATACGAGTGCAGAACCCAACGCGGTGTTGAAACTGACAGACTTTGGATTCGCTAAAGAGACTCTAACGCCCGCTGATACGCTACAAACGCCGTGTTATACGCCTTACTATGTCGCCCCTGAGGTAAGCTATATTGAACTCTAAATTTCTCTAAAAAGAAAAAGCAAATTTCATTGAAACTTGGGTTTGACCTCTAAATTAGAGATAACAAATCACAATTTTCATTGGCAAAAGTAGGTTTAAAAGGTAAAGGTCCCATTAGTATACCTTGCAGAGTCCTTGCGCTACAAATGAGATACTACACGCTTTACTATGTCGCCCTTGAGGTAATAATTTTGAACTCTAAATTAGAAAGAACAAATTCCAAATTCCATTGGAAAATGTTTGGGTTTGACTAGGAAAAGTAAAGGTCCCATGAGCGTACCTTGCAGAGTCCTTACGCTACAAACGGTANCATCGCACCCCATGTTGCAAGAACCTACATCAAGCTGAAAATAACTTAGCTACGCTTTCGTGGATAGTAAGCTTTAGTTCATAATTCCTATCCACTAATTGCTGCTGACCCACGGCCCCGAGCATGCCGAAACTACAAGAATATCGATTACAACCGACAATTAAAACTAATACCGAACTATACCTGTCTTCATTAAATTAATCTATCTATAGCTACTCGTATGTGGAATTTCATCATCAAGTTATTTTAATCTCAACTAGGAGCACCATCTCTTTTAACACATCGATGGACAATAACGTCCACGGGCGTTCAGGTAGTAAAGAATTACATGACAGAACGCCTATAGACGGCATAGTTCTTTTTCGTTTTAGATACATTCACACTACGCCCATAGGCAGTGTATCATGTGAATAAGTAGTGTCATTTGGGAAGTGGGTTGCACCATCCTACTCTAACTTTGACAAACGTCAAAAATCTGTCAATCTCCATACAATAAACACCGGTTATCGTTAAAGTTACGGTCAAAATTAGGTAGTGCAACTCAGCCTTAACCTGTACTGTTCACCAAAGTGTTAATTTACCAGAAGTAAATGGAGGATTTGGCTTACACATAACCCTCCTTTTGGCACAGTAGGGTAAAAAAATTTTGTTGTTGATTTTATATTACGATTTTATGGTTTCTTAAAAAAAAACTTAACATTTTAATGATTAAAAGTTCTACCAATTAATTAGTTTACTTTCATTATTAAAACTAAACAACTGGACATTTTGAAAACTTGACATTTTGTGAATTTGGCAATTTGCGAATTTGACAAAGTGAGAATCTGGCACAGTGCGACCGCTTGACAATTTGCGAATTTGACAATTTGCGCATAAACGTTTCTACGCTAGCCAGACGGGTTGGGGAGGCTTGACATTAGAATATTCGTGACTTAAAAACACATCAACGAGAGGGGTGGGTGTGATCCTATTTTTCTCTGCTGGAAACACACGCTTTGGAAAGATATTCAGGTACTTACCTAATTTAAATTCTTAGTAGTCACCTATTTTGCCCCCAATAGTTGAAAAGGCGTATCTAACACTTTTTTCGGATATGAGTTAAACTCAATGACAGTTAAGAATTACTTACCCATTTAAATTATTTGAAACTTTTTTCTCTGTTTTGATTTGGTGTTAGAATACTTCAACTATCAGGGGCAGTACCTGTACCTGTAAAAGTAAGGATACTTTTCTTGTTTTTGTTTTTTACTTAAATTTCAAACGTTTTTGTATTTTGGCCTTTGCCACACAGTCAATTACAGACACCGGCACATCAAATTAATCATTCTAAAGCATCTTGCATAGTGGTTATAGGTGCCATTTTCTTTTAAAATTGTACAGTTGACGTGCCGTACCTTTTTCGAACCCTACATTGGACACTAGGACAGTCAACAAAAACAGAAAAACTCCAGTCGAAACAATTAATTGGCACGGAACGGAATTTCGCAATATTCGTCCTCAGGTCCAGAGAAACTATCTATCAGGATACAAAAACAAAACGTCTGTTGCAAACACTGATATTTAATGAAGATTCTTTAGTTGGAACTAAAGTCAAAGGCTTATTTATCACCAACTTTAAGCCACAAACAGTAAGGCCCTTTTCACACGTCCCGGTTGCCGGCTAGCCGGCGCCGGGTACCCGGTCGTGAAGTGTATGGGCATGCCGAATTAATTACGCCGGAACATGTAAAAGCTACGTACCATGCCCATACACTTCACCACCGGATACCCGGCGCCGGTTGGCCGGCAACCGGGACGTGTGAAAAGGGCCTGACTCAATAACTGATGGATATCATTTAAAAATATAGCAAGTACAGTCAGCGTCAAATACATAGTTTGTGACACCCAAATTAGTCACAAAGTATGCAACACGTTTTTGTTACAAGTAAAAGAAGGTATTGTGTCAATATTTTGGTCACTTTGGGTGTCATGAACTATTCAACGCTGACTGATACTAATAATATGTACATACCATTTACCTAACGTAAATGGGTATATGAGCCGACACTAGCCCATGTTAACATGGTCATATAAATAGTATGGTGAAGTCAGAAAATTGATGTCTTCATTTTAATTATTTTAATTTTCATACAAATCGGATTTTATAAAATTTATTTTGTATGAATATTAAAAAAATTAAAATGATATCCTAACTTCACCATTCCATTTATATGACCATGTTAACATGGGCTAGTGTCGGCTCATATACCCATTTACCTAACACCCTGTATAATTACAATAAACTCCATGTATTGTACAGTATACAGCAGACATTATACAGTTGTCCCTTATGGCTGAATTACACGTATTAAGTAGTAAACTAAAAATTTTAACTTAATTTTAAGTGATCAAATTGCATCGTAACTAAATTGTGACTTAATTTTAAGTCTATGTCCAAACGTCAAGCTCTTGTTTACTTGTCTGCTTGTCAAAATGTGTCAAGTGACAAGATCCACCCACCAACTTTCACGAAAAATTAAGTTAAATGTTAGTTACCTACTTAACTACTTAACACGTGTATCACCTTCATCAGCCTTTACAGGTTTCAAACTTTCAAATACGATGGTCTACATGACCTATACCAAAGATCATCGAGCAAAGTTTTTTAAACAACCTAACCTCTATTATCACACCTTTGGCGCCTAATAAGACGGCTAAGTAATTAACACACACACATGTACAATATTATCTGCAAAGTATCTGCAGTCTCTGGCGGGTCTTTAGTGTTAATGGGGCCTTAGAGACATATTCATTACAAAATAAATATGGACAGAAGGACCATGGTTACATTTTTCTTATTAATGCAGGTTGGTTACTTTCCTAAAAGGGTATAATTATTCTCGATGGCCAGGTAGAAGCTGAATATGGCCTTTTGGAAATTTAATTTCTGCTGCTTCTATTCAACAATAATTTAAACCAAAATAAATAAATAAATAAATAAATAAATAAATAATATAATGTTTTCATTGAGATTTTGTAGAAGAATACCTTTGATGACATTGATAAGTTTGATTATCAATTTCTAAAAGGCCATAATTTCAGCTTCTACATTTCCTGCAGTCTTTGATTGAATTTAATTTCTTTTCTGGCTAGAAAATCATTTAATGTTAAGCTTTTATTTTTTAAGCTCAAGAATTGTTTAAAACTTTTGAAATCTTGAAGTAGTGAGTTTCGTGGAGTGACAAAATTGTTGGAGGTAGTATTAATAAACTGTAGTGTTACTTTGACTATGTACATTGTGTGTACATTGACAGCTACACAAATTGCAAATCTATCAATCAATCGTCTATGGTCGATCGGATGTTAGTTGTCCCATAAATTTACTGATAGCTTCCCATCGAGATAACATTATGAATAGAGCAAAAACATGGCCCTATGTACCTACAAACGAGTATTACTATATTTTAACACGTTCCGTCGCGGTAACGGCATATACAGTAAAGGTGTAATTCATATGATGGCAGTACGAGTCTCGCCGTTTACACGAAAATCAATCTAAAAATCACTACGGCAACAACCGTCGATTTTACATTAGAATTTCATAGAGAGCAGACTTGAGACATAATACAAACATGCTATTTTGGGAAAATAAGGTCGTATTTATTTGTTTTTTGATAAATACCATACAATAATGCTCAAACATTGCTAATACCTGTATTCAAACTACTAGTTTGTATTTTAGGTAAATGATTACACTTATCTCAACCAAAAACCAAAAATTGTATGTTATCAATTTAATGCAAAAAATAATATTTTCTGATCTCGTTTGCTTCCTGTTCCATAAAAAAGGACATTTATTTACGGCAGTCTAAATCGATTTAATTTTAAATTCTGAAAACATGAATTCCAGTTTTTATGTCTTAAGCCAAACACGTTTGTTTTCAAGGGTTATTTAAAAACCCATTGGTGTTCAATAAATATCACACCCGAAACGATATGACCCTAAGAATAACTTCTCAGTTAAACTACTTATCTCTGGAGATCCTATGGGAAAGCCATCGTATGTTAGATTGTCTAAAAAGCCATTTAAATCGCTACAAAAAGTAGAAGATCGGGCAATTCGCTTTAAAACAAAATGGCCGATATTTCACATCGGATAAGGACTCTGTTTTTCCTGTGGGAAGGGTGACCAAGATTTGTGTAAAGGTAGCATTCGGATCAAGACGACCGCGACGCGAGACCGCGACTCGAGACCGCGACCGGCGACCGCGACCCACTGCTTTATATGAATTAATAGGAAGTGCAGACGGATACAAGCAACCGAGTCGCGCGACGTGTGGGCGTGGCCTGCCGGCTACTTGCGTCGCGCGACTCGGTCGCTCACAAGGCAGTGCCGTGACGCGACAGATGCAAAATGGCCGTGTTTTCTTCGGACGAAGACGAAATTTTAATAGAATTAGTAAGTTTCGTATGGGTCGCACGACTCGTGTCGCGAAGATTCGTAAGTAGCTGTCGCCCTGCGACCTGCGACTGGTTGCCTGTCGCGGTCTCGGGTCGTGGTCTCTCGTCGCGGTCGTCTTGATCCGAATGCTATCTTAACAAACTAGGATATTCGTAAGTCGGTGTAAAATAAATGTCCTTGGACATTTTTACACTGAGCCTCTAGTTCCTAACTTGATTAGTTTGTACT